CACACCATAGCATAGAGGAGGGTACTTACTACTACTGATTGGTAGAACATGTGCAGCAGCCTAGAGCAGATGTTGAATGGCTGCAGCCTCCACAGAAAGTACAGCCTGGATTGGCTTCTCTTGTAAAGCTGGTGAGTGTTGACGGCCCAGTCCAGCTTATTGCCCAACGCCACTCTAAGTACCGTAAATCCTCTAATACAGGCCCAGGCCTTTATTTGCTCAAGCACATCCTGGTTCGGGCCTTTACTGGAAGGAAGCCAGAATTAGAGGCAAGCCTCAATTTCAACTTGAGCAAAATAAACTACCAGTAGAATGAATAAAAACAAGATTTTGTGTCTATTTGAACCTATAAAACACCAAGTTCGTTTGTTGAAAATGTACAGTTCCTTCTGCATGAAACAGGCTGCAGGAAAAAGGGAAATTACCGAGTTTATCTTCTTGAATACATTTAAAACCAGACTAAGAACCCTTGAGACGAATACCCTGTGTTGTGACTGCCTTCTGTAATTTTGTACGCAACTGAAAAATTTGTAACTGTAACGTTTGCTGCCTCTTGGCTAGGACTCCCTTGAAAATTAGTTTTTTTTATCTCAGTAGGACCTTCCTGGTTAAATAAAGAATAAATAAATAAACAGTTAACACTGTACGTACGTATGCATATAGAACATTTACAACAAACACCGTTGTTTCAGGCTAAATCCCAGTATGGTAACAAATGTAGCAAACATGCCGGTAGTGCATTGTAAACACTTGGTGATTATTGGTTATTGATTCACAACAAAAGGCAACAGACACCTTACCGCTCCTAAGTTTAACCGTTCGTGTCTCGTTTGGTTTGAAGTAAAAAAAATCCTCCAACTCTTTAATCCTCATCCTCCACAGTTCTACGTTACAACACTAAGCTAACTGCTAAAAACATTAGCACTCTAAGCTATTTGCGGTGAGGACACGTGAAAACAGTATCAAACTGTTTACCTGCAGTTTTTGTAGCTGCGTTTCTAAGCTGTTCAATAAAACGTCATAAAAAACCTTTAGTAAGCCCTTACCTGTGATGAAGCGATCACTGCAAACTAGCATTTTCCGTTCTGTTTCTGCTCATCTCCTGACTCAGAAGCTCTGGTGTTGTGCACAGTTAACTCCGGTTGAAGCTTGGTTGCTACCTCCGTTAGCTTAGCTCCCACCCCCGCATTAGCTTTGGGTTAGCTTCAGGTTAGCTTGTAGCCAGTTTGACCGGGTGTCGTCAGTTGATCCCAGCCGTACAGCCCCACCCTCAGCTCCACCTCTCTTCCCTTTTGTGGAATTGTCTGGGCTTGACGGAACCTGTGACAAGGTCAAAATGGCGGTGGTGGCCACCTCACATTTGGCCTCAAAAACGTGTTATTGGAGCCTATGGAAACCCATCGTCCAATATTTATATGTTGATGGTGTAAATGGTCATTTTGCCGTCCATCATGGCAAAGGGGGCGGTCACATGAGCGGCGTGACGTCAAGTGCAAGGGTCAATACATGATCAGACTTACCGTGGTGTTTGGTGAGACTCTAATTCATTAACAGTGGGTAATCTGTAATTTGAATTGCTTTTATTTTCTGATTTATTCACTTTATTTAACTTTGTACTGTACCATGTTCAGCGCCTTGGGCTTCCTGACAGGGTTGCGGAAGGCGCTTTATAAATAAAGCTTTGATTGATTGATTGATAATTACGCTATTTATAGAAATCTTTTAAGTACTTTAAAGTTATCAAAACTGCAGCTGGTTTGTGCCGCAAAGCCAGCCTTTATTTACCCCAGCTGACAGCGTGGCCGGCTGATGTAGGAGACTTGGCCGGTAATGGAATACAGGCTCAACGCTGTCTCCCTCATTCTTGATGTGTAGGAGTTTTCCTCCTGAAGTCCAGAACCATTCTCTTGGTGTTCTGAACATTCAGCTGCAGCTGGGTCCTCTTGCACCAGACCACCAAGTCCGCCACCAGCCGCCTGTACTGCCCCACAGCAGATTAGTGGAGAAAACAAGTGAATGAGAAGTTTGTTCTGAAAACAAAAGTCACAATTTCATAAATAATGGCATTCCTTATCAAGGGTTGCCAAAGGATGAAAAGAGAAAATAAGGGCTGAGCACATAACAACCATCTGAGCCTTTCCAGACATTTTTTGTTAACCTGCAGCTTCTGAATAGTTCTTATCCTTCATGATGTAAAATAAATCTGGCCTTTCAGTCCAGGTTTTAAATGATGTTGCCGTCTAATCCTCTTTAATATCCTGTACTTATTCCACACCTTCAGTCAGCCCCGGCTGGTGTGAGACCTGTCTGTCAGGAATGCAGAAACAGTAATAATGGGCATGTGACCAGATACATCAGTGGTATTAAATCAAAACCTTATAGAGATGCATCATTTAAATCTTCAATGGTAAATGTGCACTGACAAAATGGAGCAGTCACATATGCATAGAACCACAACAGCTGACTTGCTTTTACGGTATATTCGTAATTATAGTTTGGTCTTTTTTTCTTTCTTTTTTTTTTTTTTTTGAGGGAAAACATACTTTTTGTTGTTTTTAAACACACTGCAGAAACAGCTAAACTCCATATTTTCCATCATGGAGCAACGGAGCCACAGAAGGGTGTGCAGCAGCGGAGCATTTGCCTAGCAACAAATATCACAACAATCACAATGGTGCATTTGATTTTTTAATCTTTAAATTTACAGCAACTGTTTATAAATGAAAATTATTTTTTTTCTATGTGAACAGAAACTGAGAAAGAAATTGCAACTTTTTAATACACACACACACACACACACACACACACACACACACACACACACACACACACACACACACACACACACACACATGTGTGTGTATATATATATATATATATATATATATATATATATATATATATATATATATTCTCTTGAAATGAAAGTTCATACTTTTGCCCTGAATTTTGATTGTATTGTTTGATGCAATGACAGATGCAAAACCTTGTGGTTTCACACTGCCACCTGCTGTTCACTTTTCTATTTTTACCCAACTATCAGCTGCATTTTCCTACAAATAAATGTTCTGACTGAGCAAAAGAAATGTTGCTACACCACGCTTCTGACTTCATCTTCTTTTTCTGTGTAAATAAATAAATGACACACGTCTTTAGTTTGAGGTCAACACAAACTGCAGATCAACAGCATGTTGGGATCATGATGTACAGCCACTTCCTGTCTGTGAAGAGAGCATCTTCTGCTGACATGACCTTGTAATGACTTTTAAAGCATCATAATTAACCCTCTAGAAGTTAACCGTCAGCGCCGTCTTACAGGCACAGCTGGTCACTGTTGCTTTAAAAAGTACAGGTCAATTCTAGATGATACAGTTCTTTTTTATAAACCTGTGGCCTCAAGTACATTGGCTTCCTGCATTTTAATATTTTAATAGTAATAATAATTTATAATATTTTATTCCCTTTGAGTTAGAGCTGCTGTCATTATTGAGGGACATTTAATAGGGCTTTGGAGCATGACGTTGCACGATGGAGGCGCGGCCTGGTATAACGCCATCTTTCTTGTCACCGAGGACTGGATTTATAAAGTTGTCCTTTTTGTTTTTGCTTTTAGGTTTTTTTGTTTGTTTGTTTTTGCTTTTAGGTTTTTTTGTTTGTTTGTTTTTTTTTAGGAAATTTGTCTACATTGTTTTATTTAATTTGGAACTGATTTATTTTTTATGTTTAACCTGAAGTTAAATATATAAATAAATGAACATAAAATAAATAAATCACACCTGATAACAGAGGTTAAAACGACATTTTTTATTTGCAACAGAACTCTGTATTTGAATTCTCCACACTTTAGTTTCATCTCCCTTCTTGGTTTGTTGACTGTCGGACTGACAATATAACATCTTATTTGAAGCTGCATATATGAAGATATTGTTCAAAACTTGTATTTACTTTTATAGAAGTATCAACATTAAACTAAATGTCTGTCCAAAAATAACTCAAAAACAAAATCTGCAACATCTGACAACATCAACACGTGACATCCTGTCTAAACATGCATGAAAAAAAATCTGTGATTGTTTTATTTTCAAAGTGAAGAAACATTGATAAATACCATCCATCCATCTTCTGAACCCGCTTTGTCCACGTAGAGTTGCGGGGGGACTGGTGCCTATCTACAGTGGTCAATGGGCAATCAGGCGGGCTACACCCTGGACAGAGAGCCAGTCCATCTCAGGGCAACACAGAGACACACAGGACAAACAACCATGCACACACACACACACACACACACACACACACACACACACACACACACACACACACACACACCTAAGGACAATTTAGACAGACCAATCAACCTAACAGCGTGTTTTTGGACGGTGGGAGGAAGCCAGAGTACCTGGAGAGAACTCACAGGGAGAACATGCAAACTCCATGCAGAAAGATCCCAGGCCGGGAAGCGAGCCCAGGACCTTCTTGCTGCAAGGCGACAGCTCTAACCACTGCACAGCCCATTGATAAATACCATTGCCACTTACAGGAAAATGGTGAATTATGCAAAGGGCTCTTTGTATCAAAATATTTTCTTATACATTTGACTTCCAGTTGTTGCTTCTACTATGGATTTGGGAACCAAGAAAATGAAGAAATTGTAATTTTATAACTTTATTTTAATGGATTTCTCATTGAAATTGGAAAACATGTTTAAAATAAGAAATTTAATTTACAGAACCATGGTCTCAGTTAGGCAGATGAAGTTTGGGGGTTTTAACTTATTTTGTCACTAAAATTTTGTTGCAAATTTCAAATAAACCTGACTAAAAATATAACAAATAAAAAAAACTGCTAAATCAACTTTTTAAATTTGCCTTTTCATTTTTCCCACTAAAACATGACCACCAGAGGGCGTAGGTCACCAGTTTCCCACGACTTTCTCACGTGTAAGGAGCGAGGCTTGTGGCCACGCCTACCGCCTGTCAGGCAGCGTTCAGGGCAACACCTCCCTTTCACACTCGTAGCTATGGAAACTCGTGGTTAGCAACATCCAGCAATGTTTTCTGACCCCATCCTCATACCCATTCAGAGGTGCTGAGAGTGTGCAGCTGCAGCCGACAAATGATACCCAGCAAGATGGCGATTGTGCGGCTTTTGGTTTGTTTTGTTCTGTACGCCAGCCTGGGTGAGTAGTCCTACATATTTTTATCCCCAGAAGGATGTTATGATGAAAACCCGGGGTAAAGGTTTATTTAGACTATTAAAACCGAGCTGAAGCGGAGCTGCGGTGCTAACCACACATTAGCTTGACACAGGCAGGCTGACAAATGCCAAGAAGCTCGTTGTAGGGGTTTTCTCTGCTGTAGTGGTTTGTGGGCAGCTTCACTGCCTCTTTGGCGCTTTCGCGTTAATCCAAACGTTATTATTAAAGCTCAAAATAGGCTCAGTTTATCCGGTTGAACCCACCGTGTTTTGCTAACGTTAAAGCGGAAAGGCGCTACGTTGCTGTGTTGTGATTTGGGCTCGCGCCACTTATTTCTCAGGAAATTTCCAGAATAAAAACTAAAATGTTTGGTTAAAAAATGGGAAACCACATGGTTGTGTGTCACGGTGGAATCCCCAGGCCTGAAAGACACGTTTTATACTTAAAATACACAAAGTTGCTCAGATTTATTTAAATAAAAGACTAGCTTTAATTTTTACTTATCTTGAGTCAAAATTGTGTGTGTGTGTGTGTGTGTGTGTGTGTGTGTGTGTGTGTGTGTGTGTGTGTGTGTGTGTGTGTGTGTGTGTGTGTGTGTGTGTGTGTGTGTGATTTATTGGGTTTCATTTGGGAAGTGAACTTCCACTTGAATAAATGGTATATTATTGTATTGACATTAAAATTTAACACTGATTTGTGTTTGTATTTTTATTTTAAATTTGCATTGAGATTGTGTTCTGCAGAGAATCCATCGCACCTGTTAGAGATGAATAAGCTCACACTTTTTATTGAGAATATTAATTTACATAAATGTGGCATGTTTTATATAACTAAGCAGATTTTTATGGGCCAGTGTAATTAGAGTAGTTATATCTTTACACGCCCTGTAAGTAGAAAACAACCCAAACACTGATTTTACCTTCTGCAGAAGGACCTGGAAATGACCCAAATTAGGAATCTTAATGTCCAGTAACGGAAGCTGGGAACTAGAACAAAACTAGAAGAGCAAAAACAAAATACAGATGCATTTTGTTAATTTTAACAGTTTAGGGTCTAATTTCTAATTTTAGGCTGCAGTTGTGTCGGAATAATGAATAAAGAGCAGAATGAGCATTGTCTAATTTGTTCCGGAGGCACATGAATGGCACATAAAGCAGATTTTTGTTTGCCTGAATTCAACTAAACTCAGACTCTTGCTGTGTTCTGGTTAAAATTTTGGATTCAGAAGATATGAATCCTTAGTTTTTATCTATTTATGGAACTTTATCATATAACAAGTATAACTTTGTGTATCCCTGTCATATGTTACTAAATTGGGGGGAAAAATGCTCAAGTTGAGCAGATTTGTGTCAATATTGCTCTAAAAATTAATTTCATTTCATTTAAAACTATCAATACCAAAGCAAGGCTACACAAAGATTGCTTTATATCTTATGAAGAATTAAAAACAACGTTTAAAACAATGAAATTTGCCAAATTTGACATTTTAACAGAAGAAAACGAGTCTTTCTTTATGGTGCCTCACGAGGACAGCGAGGCTCCAGAGACGAAACAATCTGGAGCTACATTTCATCCCACGGATGCTTCCCTCACCCGTGTCATGTTTGTCCTCCCTGATGGTTTCAGAAAAGCAACACAAGGACAGACCACAGCTCACGTCTCTTCCTTACATTTCCCTCAAGTATAAACGACAACCCGACAGCTTGAGTGTAATCTCCTGGATGGATTTTTACTCCATCACTCCTCGTGGTCCCCGCTCCGTCGTTGGTCCTTCAGCATATTTGCAGCGACAGCACTGGAATGTCTGGGAATACGCTTTTTATAGATGCACTGGATCAACAACTTTTTGTTGCAAGGATGATGCACGTAAGAGGATTGCAGAATTTGGCTATTTAAAAGCCGGTGTCTCTTGGAAGCAGGCTATAGACTGTGCGTTACAATAGGAGCGGGATTAAAACAAGGCGGTGTTTTGCTCTCCGTAGAGCACTGAGATTATTTTTCATGAATCAGAAATATAGTTTTCCCTTCAGCCTACGCCGTGTCACATGTGGACAAAGTGTTCTTGTTTGGACGCTTTCATTAAAAGCTTGCATTAGTAATTAGTTTTATATTGTCTAGTTAATTGTGGTTTGTCGTTCCCATGGCCTACATTTTTAATTTGTTTGGACATTGATGAGAAAAGCCTTCCAGTATGTTAATAATATGGATCTGGTGCATTCGCAACCACAGATCCACTTATTGTGTAATGAGAAGGGGTGAGAACACGAACGCGGGGGTGGTGACCTTTTGTTATGGTTCTTATCAAAACAGATGTTTCCTCATCTAAAACACGTCATCAGACTCCGTTATGAAAGTGGTCGAGCTTTGTTATTATTATAGACCTAATTAAATGTCTTCATATGAGAGTTGGGGCTTAAGTCCTCAGTTGGTGGGTATGTCGAAGGAGATGTTATCGAGTGAAGTCTCCTCGAGTTTCACAGGATGTCCAGTCACAGCTGTGGTAAAAATAGATCCTAATGTACAGAGTGGGAAAGTCAGCGGCAGAGACGGAAACGGAGACCTGGGAGTCAGATCTCATCAGCGTCCTCTCAGCTGTGTTCGTCTTTGGCAGGACCCACGTTGCTTCTTCGTCTTCTGAGCTAGCTCCCTTTCCGCACATCTCAGGGTCGCTCACCGTGCTAACGAGGCTGCTCTGAATAAATACCTCTGAGTGGAAACCGCTTCAGGCCAGCATGGCACGTCTCGTTGGATTTAGGGTCTGCTCTGTTGATTATTATTGTCTTATTTCTGTCCTCCTTTGAATGCCTTCATTAGGCCGCGTGGGGGTTATTATTTGCATGCAGACTCCAACAATTACTGCATTTGGATGTGGCGTAGACAAAAGGGAGGTTGATTATAGGGTAGAAGGGACAACACCAATTTAACTAAACAGTGATTTTCACATTTGGTGTTCCTCTTTCCTCTCCTCTCCGAATTTCCCGCTTAAATCGAGCCTTCTGCTGATCTGGTTCAGACTAAACCTGTGAAGTGTGCCACTTGCCATTAAAGTCTGACATTTGTGAAATAACACGGATTGCTCTGAGCGGCTCACCCGAGCGGTAAAATAAAGTAAACGTCATGCGTGGCGTTTGCGCCAGAGGAGGTGGTGGATTAAGTACGGTTCAGATGTGAGGCTATTTTTATGCTTCTTCTTCATTTGTAAATTGCTTTGTAAACGCAAATGTCAATTGAAGCTATTCCGTTCCATCAAATTGATTTTTAAATAGATTTTTTTTCATCTTTCAGAGAAGAAAAAAATCATTTTTTTTAAATGCACTGAAAAGATTTTTCATGGAAACCAAATGGGGTCTCTCTGCTGTCGCATGCAACTCACAATGTATTCGTTCCAGATGTTCCTCAGAGGCGTGTTGTCACCCAAAACCCAGTGAGATGAAGGGAACCAGCGATGCAGAAACTCACATCCTAACAAATGTCTTGTTTGCAGAATAAAAGCATCTCTGGCCACCTGCTCGTGCCTGACCTCATCACTGTTAAACTCAATAAAATTACTGGTTAAAAAGAGCTTCTAACTGGAAACTTAGGCTAAAACCAAAATATTGATCCAATTTGAGAAATTGTGTTATTATTACATATAAGTGTTTTGGCCTGAGGCATTTGTCTGCTTAAATATAAAAATAGGAAGTAATTAATGAGGCGTTTTCACACTAAATCAGATCCCGCTGCTCTCACTCTCTGCTGATTTATTGGTTTAATCCACTGGTTATTAGGCAACATGCCCGGTTGATAATGTCCGCTGATGGACGCGCTCGTGTTTCCAATCAGAGTTACTCTGAGTTTCTGTGTGTCGCTTGCCCCCACCCCCCACAGGCCACGTTCCTTCATCGCTTGGGGTGATCCTCCGAACCACAGACAAGATTGTTTGGGTAAACGAGTTTGAGCGTGAGTTGCAGAAGAATCTCTCTCCAGCCTGTTTAGCCAAAGTAGCTTTTTATTTTCCTCTCACACATTCTGTTTTCCTCCACAGCCATCGAGCTGACCTGTTTAATAGAGTCCATCTCCACAAACAACCCGCGGATAGAATGGAAGAAGATTAAAAGCGGCATCCCCAGTTACGTGTACTTTCAAAACAAGATCACAGGTAAACCTCTCGGAGAGTGGGGTAGGCCACAGCGCTTCAGAGGGAAGCCCCCTCCGCTGAATGAATGGCACCCTTTAAGGAACTTGGCACCAAACTTTGATTTGTGAACTGTTAAAGTTGCACTGTGGGTTTCAATGAGCAACTGTGAAGTCTCACTTTCTCTCTGCTGAAGGGGACCTGGAGCACAGAGCTCAGCTCAGAGAGCCAGCCAACATTCTGATCTTCAACGCCTCTCGATCAGACACCGCAGAGTACCGCTGCGAGGTGGCCGCCATCGAAGATCAGAGAGACTTTGATGAAATCCTCATTAGTCTGGCAGTTAGAGGTATGAAGGACGGCCACGCCACTACACCAACATGCTCATAAATGAGTAAAATGTGATGTATAATGTGAATTTAAAGCAACACTAAGCAGTTTTTTTTTTACACTTTAACTAATTCCTTAAAAAGTGAGGTGTTAGTAGACACTTTACCAACTTCTCATGTGACACCCCCCTGCAGCCCTCTGCTGACCACCAACAGCACTTACCAGTTTTGTGGAGTGGGTAGGTGCACTAGGGAGTGCTCTTTACCTGCTTAACAGCTGCTGTTTTCTGTGCTGGTAGCTAATTTAAAGGCTAGCAATTAGCTTTTTCAGTTTGCCAACCTTCATTGAAAAACACAAGATGAAGAAAAGAAAAAGAAGTTTGATTTTTCTGTTGGCATCACGGTGAAGCCTGGAAGTAAAAGTAAGAGTAATGTTTTTTTAGTTGCTAAACAAATAGCTAAAACCTGAATGAACATCGGCGCTAGGGATGGGTACCTTTGACATTTGAATCGATCCGGTATTAATTCCTGGTACCTACGAATCGATACTTAACGGTACCAACTTTCGATACTTTTGAGTGTTTAATATTTTAATTATCTTTTATAATTAAATATATATTTTTCTCAATATGTAACCATATTTGATAAATATCACGATAAATAACATACAACTGTTTGTATTTTAACATCGTCCTTGTAGTTTTATAAGCTGATAATTAAACTGAAGCAAACATCTTTACTGTGAACTAAATTTACTGTGTATCTTCATTCCTTTTACCGTCTTTTTTCATTTGATTTTTCCTACTGGGAAGCTAGAATTTCCGAGGAGAAAGCGAACGCACCATTAGTGAAACGGAAGCTAACAAATCAAGCTAACGTTATCTTACATTTTATTTACCTACCGGAGCAGATTAAGATGAGGATGTCTCACTTAGATCGTTGTCGCTGGTTTCATCATCACCCAGTTACCCATCACATTTAGTGAAGTGGACCCAAGCTTTAGCGTGCGTTCTTTCTACCATGCTGCTCTGTTTACAACTGGCTTGCAGCGACCGATGACATAACGCTCTTGCGCATGCGCAGCTGTCTAGGCAAGTTCTCGTTGTGAAGGACGGATACCGAAACGAGGCACCGTTTCAAATGAAGTGAATCGGCGCTCAGTCGCTACTGTGGAATTCGGTCGGTACCTTAAAAAGTACCGAATTCGGTACCCATCCCTAATTCGGCGTGGCCTACAGTAGTTTGAGGGAGCTAAAGGAGGCTAAAAAATTATATATATAATGGACTGATGGTCACCTGGCTTTGTTGCTACTGGACTTGTAAGTAATAATATTCTGTGTCCAGCAGTGTGGATCTTTTATTCTCATGGTTTATTGTGGAATGAATTGGCTCATGTTAGTGTTAGCTTGTTGTCGCGCTAGCTACAGCAGGCTACTGCAGGGTGGTTTATAACAGTTGTAATTCCAGTTTCAACCAGCAGGACAGAGGAGCAGGAAACTGCTCGCTGCCACTCTACATGCCTTTAGACTTAACCTGCTAACAAAACTTTTCTTTTCACTTTGAAAAATGCATATCCCCGCCTGATTGCCCATTGACCACTGGAGATAGGCACCAGCCCCTCCGCGACCCTACGTGGACGAAGCGGGTTCAGACAATGGATGGATGGATGGAAAAATGCATATTTGAAGTATAAAGTAATCACTGCTGTACTTTGTTTTCATACTCAATGTTAGATTAGTTGTTCAGTGTCAGCATGTCCCTAAAACTCAACCTTGTGAGGTTGCTAGGTTACCATTTGTTGCCTTGGGACTTGCTTGTTGGGTAAGCTAATCAACTGCTGGGACAGAAATCTGCTGAACTATGTGGAGGTCCTGGAAGCTTCACTTCTTTTTCCAGTCAAACTCCATAAATGACATGAGTGAGATTTCAGATGTTTCATCACAGTAAAGGAGAGGAGTGTTGCTGCTTTGGCTTGTTTTGTTCACATTCATTTATCACGGTCCGAGGGACATCTGGCGTGATGAAACTCTGGTCCAGTCCCTTTATTTTAAACACAGCCTGTGGAGCAAGCCCTGGTTCTAATGAATCAGGGCGTGAAGGTCCTCTACCACCAACACAGGATGCACGTCTGTCCCATTTGAATGCTCCGGAAACATTTCACAAGTTGTCTAGCGACAAATCCTGCTGTCGATTCACTCCGTAGTCCTCAAGCACAGAAGCTGCTGCAGCCTGACGGTGAGGTGTTGTTTGTGTGCAGTGAAACCCGTCGTGCCACGATGCAGCATACCAGAGAGCGTCACGGTTGGAACCTCAACGGAGCTGCGATGTTTGGAGAACGAGGGCTTCCCTGCTTCCCAGTACCACTGGTTTTACAACAATGAAGAACTTCCTCGTGATCCCAAAAGCAGCCCAAGATTTGTCAACTTCTCCTACATCATCAACCCTGACACTGGCAGCCTGGTAGAACTTCAATTATTACTTTAGCACATCGATGTTATCAGAAATGAGTTTCTTATTTTTCTGCAGGAATCTTCAGTTTAAAGGAGAGTTGGTTACGTGTTATCTAACATAAACGGCTTAATCTGAATAAAACCTTAACCATCGAATGACTAATTGCAGGATTAATCCCTCTGTGTCTCCAGTGAGAAGGCTTAACCAAAGCAGCAGAATGTTGCATTCAGAGTCGAGCTGCTGTATTTATGATTAAAAAAATAAACACCTTTGCCACTCTAAAGCCTGAGATCAAGCAGATGTCAAATAACTCCGCTGTGTAACCAAACATACGCCATCTGTTTAGAACGTGATGAAGTTGCTTGTCTGCCAGACATCCTGCAGTATGTCGATGACGATCCAGTCGTCGCATGTCGGTGTGATGAATTTTTTAAAAACTGTCTCCTCAGAAATTTCGACGGGTGAAGAAAGAGGATGCAGCCGAATACTACTGCCAGGCACGGAATGATGCAGGATATGCCCAGTGCTCTCCACAAATGATGGAAGTCTGTGAGTGGATCACGTGTCTATGCATACATTTGTGGTACTAAATGAACCTGGAAGCTATTTGGAATTTAGTGAATGAAAGGGAGTTGAGGGCAGGTGGTGAGGTAAAGACTTTACACAGCACGTGTCCTTTTTTACCTATTTTTTGATCCTTTACTTTTTTTGATGGTCCTGGAGAGCCAGATTGCATCCTACCATTCACATGGGAAGAATACACCTGGTGGACGGGTTCAGGCGCGCAGATAGGGTGGGGGACGGGGGGGATCTGTCCCCCCCAAATTCAGATCAACCCCGATCCGTCCCCCCCAACTAAGGCCAGAAAGAAAACAAAATCAGAGGTTTAGCGCTTGAAGCTCCATTTTCCAATTACATTGAATGCAGCATGACGTAAACAAACACCGACTCCAGAGCAAGCGCCAAAGTGGTTGCTGCTAGGATGCAGGATGAAGCGAAAAAGGCAAGCAACGATTACTGCGTATTTAATAGTGATGGGAATTCCGGCTCTTTTTAGAGAGCTGGTTCTTTTGGCTCCCAAGTGCCTTCTCAGATTTTCTGTTGCGTAGAGTACATTTATCACCAAAATATTGCAAAACTATATGTAAAATGATTTACTAATGTGAAAAAAATGCAATATATCAAATATTTATCATTTCTATGGATTTAATAACTGAACACTTTAAGAAATCTCCACTTTCCGACTGCTGGCGCTCATTTTCTCACCGTCTTCGTCGCACTCTCCTCTCTCTCGCTCGCCTTTCTCCTCCTCCTCATTCCCTCTCATCTCCCTCTGCCCCCATGTGCTCTGCTGTGTGTCTGAGTCTGATCCTCCCTCTTCCCCACCCCTACTGCTCTGTGTGTGGACAGTCTGGACACGCAGTTACACATGTTGACCAATCGCCTGTGGCTTTCACCAAAGCAAGAGGGGAGGGGGGAGGGGAGGGAACGGCTCCCAATGATGAGCCGGCTCCCGTCGTTCACTTCAAAGAGCCGGCTCTTAGAGCCGGTTCGTTTGTGACCGACACATCACTAGTATTTAAAAAAGATCAACAGTGTAAGTAGGCGGGACCAATCTGTCTGTTTATGCATGTTGGTTCTAGTTTACCGCGGTTTCTAGTTTCAGTACGTTGTTGTCAGTGTTGGGACTTACTCGTTATAAGTGCCAAAGCCTCATTGCTGACTTTAACAAGTCTCATCTACAAATATGATCCCTCATGAAGTTACTATTTTACACCAGAAGATAGTGGAGATGTGGAACCTTCAGGCTGAGCAAAGTTTGGGAGTTTTTAGAGTTTGAAAATCGCCTCCCGCCGTGAGGCTCCCAGTCAGGGAGAGGAGGAGATACGCGCAACATGAAGAGCGCAAATATTAGATAAAACGTATAATTGCCGGCAGGTCTGGTCTTTGTTGACTGATCACTTTGTCTGGTAATGACTGGCTCTGATTATGAAGCAGAATATTGACTCTGATGAAGAAATTCACTCATCCAGCCAGGAAGATTGATGCTGCTGCAGCATCAGACAGCTGGTGCTGCACGAGAGGTGTGTGGAGTTTACAAGCTCCAAACGTTGGGTTTGATGTTGGTTTAACCTTCTCTGGGACGTGATGGATGTAGAAATGATGGTAAAAACACCGCTAATGTGGCAGACGTAGCGACAATGTAAAAAAAAAGCTGTAAAAAAGAGGCAGATGCCAATGCGTTATGTATGGAACTCAATATGGAACTCAAGTGTGCCACATAATCGTAAAAAAGTAAAATTTAAAATTTCAAAAGAGATTTATATATAAATTAAAACTTTCCAAATATAATGAAAATTTATAAATAACGTAAAATACGAAGGAACATCTGTTGGTCAGGCTGAAAAGTTTGGGAACCACTGCTCTAAGTGATAAGTGTCTATTGTTTCTTATTATATTTTATAAGCAGTTTTTTAGGGTTTTTATGTTTTCTGTAAAGATTAGTATGCTGAAAATCATTTAATGTTTTGCATAAAGCATGAGGATTTGGTTAGTAATTGATTGTAAGAATAACAAATGACTGAATTAAATAGTGGGGCGCCTCTGTCAGTGCGCCCCAGGGCAGCTGTGGCTACATCGTAGCTCATCCCCATCAGTGTGTGAATGTGTGTGAATGGATGAATGATACACTGTAGTGTAAAGCGCTTTGGAGTCCTTACTCTGAGAGGCGCTGTACAAGTGGGGATCATTTATCATTTATAGTGCTGATCAGGCAGAGCTTTGTTGCCAGCGTTCCACTGCATAATGGCTTCAAACACGAATATAAAAGTTAGTTTTTACATAAACCGTTGGATGAAATTACACAAACTGACTGAGCTCTAGTTAAGGCGCTTGCAATAGTTTGTGTATGTGTGTGTGTGTGTGTGTGTGTGTGTGTGTGTGTGTGTGTGTGTGTGTGTTTGGGGGAGGGTACATTGGAACTTTGTCCCCCCAGTTTGAAAATCCTATCTGCGCCCCTGGACGGGTTGCCAGTAGTTCCCAGGATCAGCAGCGCATTCATGTGTGGTCATTGGCCTCAAATGATGTGTCTCGAAGATAAAGTATTGTCTCATACCTACATAATGTCAGTTTAATACTTTGCCTCAAAGCACTTTATAAAATACAACATTGACTCTTTCTGCCTGCAGACACTGATTTAAAGGTGCAATAAGTTAGAATTTTACAGTGAAATAACCACAAAAAAATCTGATCTTAAAATCACGTTAGGGTTACTTTGGAGCAGATTTCTTAGCTGGATGGTTGCCAGGTTTTCTTTTTTTTTTTTTTAAAGGCCAAAGAGGGACACGGTAATTGTTTACAATCTCTCCCGCCTCCATACTTCGTGGGTCCAAGGTCAAATCTGTGTCAGCAAACGCTGCTGCATCGGCATTTGTAATTCCACACTTGTGGAAAGAACTGAAGCCAGTAAAAGGAGCAGCTCAGAAGTTATTTCTTGAACCCCTAAAAAGCCACAACACCTTTTTGTTTTACTCCATTATCGGGTAAAGAAGGCTAGAGGCAAAGTTTGAATTACAGGGTGAGTTAAGGGGAGCCTGACTTCGCTAAAAGGGTGATGGGCTCCTCAACTTACACACCCAGGAGGAGCCCGAAATAAATCTAGTTTAAACCTATATTACATTATTTATACATTATTTATCCCCAGTGAGTCGTGGAGGATGGCTGCTTATACTGAGCCAGGATTCTCTGGAGGTTTCTTCCTGTTAAAATGGAGTTTTCCTCTCCACTGTCGCTTTATGCTTGCTTGGTATGAGGATTGCTGTATAGTCACTGACACTAGTCAGTGACTTGATGCAATTTGCTGGGTTCCTTATATAGGAAACATTATTTCTGATTGGCTTAATGAACTGACCTGAATTGGAATTTTTATTATGTGAAGTGCCTTGAGACGACTCTTGTCGTGATTTGGCGCTATATAAATAAACTTGAATTGAATTGAATTGAATACAGACTCTCAGCATACTGGAACTTCTTTTGAGCAACCCGTCCACCGTCTCACAGGGCTCCCCCGGAAGCCTCTGTGTAATGTGTACCCTGGCTAGAGGCTAATGCTGAGCTAACAATGCTAACAGTGAATTAGAAAAAAAAATTTGCTCTAAAAATACCTCAAGCTACTTTTTTCCAACTAACAATAACTTGAGATTACAATGAAACATATTTATCTACTCATTAACTTACTGAGTATGGCTCATCTTTGCTTGTCATTTTGAGTCTTGTGACGCTGATCTGTAAAACGACAACGGTTGCTCAGAGCGGGGTTGTTTGTTTTGATACATGGGCTGCAGTACCCACATTTGACCACAAGATGTCATTCTCGTGCACCTTTAATCAACTTAAAACAAACAAAAAAAAGATGGAGGGGACACGGAAAGACCAATTTATCAAAGGTTTCTCTTTGAGAAAAATTGGGATAAGTTTACAAATAGACGTTTTTTCCTTCACGGGACAAACGCAGAGACACTCAGACAGCCATGGTTTTGGACTGTGGGAGGAAAGTACAGCATCCCACGCGTGCTTAGGGAGAACATGCAGACATTGTACTGCTACTGAATATTTATTACAGCTGAAGTCAATGCAGAATAAATTACTAGTCGGCTCTAATCTCAGTAGCTTCTCACAGGTTTTATAATGAGCTGTTACATGTGAGCACACAGGTTACTGGGCTGGGGGGTGTCAGTATTTATTACAGAATGCGAACATAGAAAACTGTGTTTCACCCGTTTCAGGTGATGTTGACATCCTCGGAATTTTCTTCAAGTCCTTTGGTGGAGTGACCGTAGCTGTCTGTGTTTTTGCTTTGATTTATTCCATCGGACGTCTACGCTTCCACAACAAAACCAACAACGGGAACAAGTGAGTACAAAGATCCCCTCTGAAAGACACGAGGGATGTTATAAAAATCGTCATTTGGCACCAGATGTTCCATATTTCATCCTTTTTTAAAATGTAATCGTTTTCCAGCTACAACTGGTCACCGCGGAACGGTGCTGTCGACTATGGTGATGCAGATGAGGTATGAAGGAGTCTGCTAAGCACCAGTGTTCCCAATTATGTAACAGACCTGCAGGTTTATCGTCTGAACTTCTGTTTTTCCTTTCCTCTAGGGTCACTTCCGTCACAAGTCGTCATTCATCATTTGACAGCTGACGAGAACCGAGAGCAGAACCCAAACAAGGCAAAAAAATAAGTAAATAAACACTGTTACGGTTAACTTGCAACAAGGATCCTCAAGTAAATAAGGTTTATGGTAGATCATGGCACATTTCTCTCTGATGCACATTAAAACCAGTTCAACTGACTTGCCAAAGCATCAACTGAATTTGTGGCACAAGATTTTTTTTCCACAGATTCTGTTTTTTTGGGTTTTTTTTTTCCTAGTCCTTGCTTGTGTTCAAACATTTGTATTTATTTCGTATTCTACTCTTTGTTTTTTTGTTTTTTGTTTTTGTTTTTTTTCCTGATGAAATTGTATCTTACAGCGGGAGCATTTCAAAGCTGTGAAATTTGATATTTGGACCTCGGTGTTATCACGAGTTGCCGTAAGCTGCATTCCCTCACCTTTTTTTGAACAAATCCCTTTTTTTATAACCTTTGAATTTTTTACTGAGTGCATTTGTTTTAGAAAAGCAGTTTACATGATATCAAATACACGTGTCCTGAGTTATTTGACATGTTTTGTTTGTAAATACTGTAGATAAACAGGCTGCTGGTTGCAGGCTGCAAAAGGCTGTTACATCAGATACATGAGGCACATTTTTTAATCAGTCTTTATTATAATCTCAAATGTTAACTAATACGTATGGATTAAATGACACATTTAAATTCCATATGTCATACTATGCTGCAGAGTATGTGTTTGAAAAAATTGGTGAAGTTTAACTTATCGGAGTGCCGTTTTGTGTATAAGTGACCTTTTGTGCTTTACTAGTTTCTTTGTGAGTATTGGACATATTGTCCAGTTCTGATTCAGTATATGTAAATAATTACTTACTTTTTTGGGATCTATTATTTTTATTCATTGCACTCCATAACTTGTAAAATACAGGAGGATTTTTTTTGCTGTTTATAATTTTCACAGTTGTGTATTTGTTGTGTTGAATCTGTCAGTAACAACAGTTTGTCCTGTCAGACACGTGTCGAACGTTCTGTGTAACAACCAACAACTCATAAACTGTTGCAAATGTCTGCTGTTTATTTAGGATTATTGCTGTATGCTTTTGTTTTTTGTTACTATTAAATACATTTCAACTTCAGATATAACTGATGTTTTCATGTTGAAAGGAAAGATTACGTTTGGAATTAACAGCGAGAGAAAATTATATTTATAATTGGAGGGTGTTTTTTTAACGGAACTGACTTCTCTTACTAGGTTAATTTAACTTACACCTTAAATTATTGCAAAAGAGAGTTTGCTTTGTCACAAATATTTTACAATGCTGCATTTATCATAAAACATTTAGTCATATAAATAAAGACATCACTTTCAAAGGTGCTTCAAAATTAGGAACGGTTTAAAAGATTCATAGTTCAATTATTTCAAAACTCAGTTACTATGTTTTGCTGTCAAAGCAAATGTCTACATTTTATTATATTGCACACACACATATGCATATATATATATATATATATATATATATGTGTGTGTGAGTGTGTGTGTGTGTTTATATATATATATATATATATGTGTGTGTGTTTATATATATATATATATATATATATATATATATATATGTATATATTACACACACATGCATCAATTTATGTCTTAGTTACAAAAGAGCGTATTTCCTTTTGACAAAGCAGAAGGAAAAATCATTTTCATAGTTGGACTATTTGGATGTTTTAAAACGAAACTATTTAACTTTAAATTTTTTTTAATAAAATTAAGCCAGTAAAATGTTAGTTAGCAATGCAGTTCATCTCATTTGTTTAAGTTGAACAAGACAATTGGCTTAAATGCTTGCTCATTTGGGGTAATGTGATCTGTTCTAGACAATCCCATAAATTATTAAGAAGAAAGAAAAAAGGTTCATGCTCAAAAATGCTCTAACTGACGTCGCTTCCGGTTTTATTTTGGAAGCCTCTACCCGGATGTAGTTAAGCTAACGCACCGTAGCCAAAGCTAACGTTACATTTTTTTGTCGTTTGACAACATCAACAGTTTTCTCTGTCAGGACCAAAACATGTAAGATTCACCAGCCTCGCGATAATTGCGCCCACCGCAGATTTGTGTGAAATACATTGTATTGGTGACAGTAAGCCTACGAGAGCTAAAAAGGGGAAACAGCTAATTTGCTAACAGTCATTTTCATGTGCGTCTTCTTTTTACCGTCGCTGAGCTAGTTTGACGTGAAAATGGACATGTAGCTAAAAACTTTTTTGTTAAATATTTCTTGACGTGTTTTATGGCTAAATTTCGTAAGTTGCACCTCGAAAGGGAACTAATTCGCGCAACACACTGGCCTTGATGTGTGCTTGTGTTCTTTTTGGTCGAAACGGAGTGCATTAGTTTTGCTAACAAGTGTGAGAACGTTACGATAAGAATAACTTCTATGCGATAAGAGTGTTTATAGCTATAGCGTTATAATGAGTTTCTTTAGTTTTGGACAAAGTGCAGAAATCGATGTAGTCCTCAATGACGCCGAAACGAGGAAGAAGGTTGAACACAAGACCGAGGATGGAAAGAAAGACAAATACTTTCTTTTCTACGACGGCGAGACTGTCAGTGGAAAGGTGAATGTCACACTGAAGAACCCTGGGAAACGGCTGGAGCATCACGGGATCAAAATAGAATTTGTCGGTCAAATAGGTGGGTTGAAACGGTAATAACTGCTATCAGACATGTTCATCCGGTAGGTCATAAATCAGGCGAGTCGAACACGTTCTTCATGCAGAGAAGGCTCAGTTAGATGTGTGTTTATATGACAAGGTCCTGGTTTTGAGGGGCAAACGTGTTCTTCTGTAACAACTGCTAAAGTGAAATGCACAGGTTACAAACATGTCAAAAACGGACTTCATTAAAAAGAAACCAAACCTTTGAAATGTTTATTGAAGTGTAGTTTAGTTTCCTGTTGAATAAACTCACCCAGTTCACAGAAGGACTCGTTTATTTGCTGATCTTCTGCTTTTATAAGTGCTGACGTTACGTTTTACTAATATTTATACAAGAGGACGACAACATTCCTAGACTAGACAGATAAACCTAATTATATTTTAGGGGTTTGCTGTTGCAAGATGACTATTTTAATGCAACAGAATGTCATGCATCTAAACATGTTGAATTTCTGGTCAAATGTTTAATTCAATTATTAAATTTAATGTATTCTGTCCTAAATTTCACATTTAAGGTGTACTTTTTTCAGAGAAGTTTACAGTAGTTATTCTGATGTTTTTTTTCTTTTGTGTGTGTGTGTGTGTGTCGCTTTCCCAGAGCTGTATTACGACAGAGGAAACCATCATGAATTTGTCTCCTTGGTGAAGGATCTTGCAAGACCTGGTGAAATTACACAGTCCCAAACCTACGACTTTGAGTTCACTCACGTAGAGAAACCTTACGAGTCCTACACAGGCCAGAACGTCAAGCTAAGGCAAGTTTGATCATTCACTCTACTTTATAGTCCGTGAGAAGACTTGCTGAGTGGGTCATTCTTTAACCTGCTTGTCATGTGGTTACATTTATAACTGTTGGCCCCTGCATGTCACTGATATGTCCCTTGTAGCAGGTGTATTATACTTCCTGTGTGATTATATTTTCAGATATTTCCTCCGTGCCACGGTGGTAAGAAGACTAAATGACATAAGTAAAGAGATGGACATTGTGGTCCACACACTGAGCACCTACCCTGAACTCAACTCCTCCATCAAGATGGAAGTTGGGATTGAAGACTGCCTCCACATTGAGTTTGAGTATAACAAGTCCAAGTAAGACTGTTATTTTACTGAACTCATAACACAACTGTTGCATGGCCTGACTAGCAGTAGCTATTAAACAATATGGTTTTATCCTGCATTTACACACAGTTTATGAGAACTTGATGGTGTTTTATGTAGTTTTTGCTGACAACAGTAAGTTCCCAAAGTCGGCACATGAAGGATTTGACTGATTGGCACAATTTATTTCATTTTAAAAGGTTAAGTTCCTTAAGAAACTGCTTTTACTTGTTATTTTTGACATGATCGTTTCACTCAGAGTTTAACATGCAGGCTGAACATGAACCCCTACACTTATTTCCTGCATTAGCTGCCGAAGGAAAATAGGTGGGGATGCTCGGGTTAGAAAAGCCTGAGTCATTGGCCGTAGCACACTGTTATCGCATCATAATGTCAGATTAGCCTTCATGGACTCAACCATCTTGGCTCAGGACCATGGAAGGCTGTGTTGATTTTTGCGGCCAGGAGAGAGCAGAGCACGTCTCGGCTAGTAGAAGCTAACTGTTAGCATTAGCACCACCCCAACATGGCAAACCTAATTCAGACTTGTGTTATTTGTAAAGGTAAAACATTAACATTACAGAGCAAACTGAGTCAGTGGTAGAGTCATGTTGCTGTTAGCCAAATATCAGACAATAAGACTCCAAATCCTGCCTTCTGAAGCTCCTCCCCCCTGCTCTGGCTGACTTCTACTTCCTGAAACAGGAGCTTTTGACTCACAAGGCATTCGTTTATACTAGAGACCATGGCTAAATAAAAAAATAAGTTAATTTGGTCCTAAAATTTAAAAAAAAATCCCAGTTTTTTGTGGCCTACGAGGGTACCGAATTCGGTACTTTTTAAGGTACCCCCCGAATTCCATAGTACCGGCCGAGCACCGATTCACGTCATTTCAAACGGTGCCTCGTTTCGGTACCCGTCCTTCATAACGAGAACTTGCCAAGACTGCTGCGCATGCGCAAGAGCGTTATGTCGTTGGTCCCTGCGAGCGCGTTGTAAACAGAGCAGCATGGTAGAAAGAACGCACGCTAACGCTTGGGTCCACTTCACTAAATGTGATGGGTGATGATGAAACCAGCGACAACGATCTAAGTGAGATATCCTCATCTTAATCTGCTCCGGTAGGTAAATAAAATGTTTAAGATAACGTTACCTTGATACGTTAGCTTCCGTTTCGCTAATGGTGCGTTCGCTTTCTCCTCGGAACTCCGAATTTCCGACTAGAACATGAACGCGCTCTAAAGTTTGGCTTCACTTTACTAAATGCGACGGGTAATTGGGTGAAGATGAAACCAGCGACACCGATCTAAGTGTGAGGCATCGTCTTTTTAATCTGCTCCAGCAGTTAAATAAACTGTTAAAGATAACGTTAGCTTGATATGTTAGCTTCCATTGCCACCGTTGTTATCAGCTAATGGTGCGTTCGCTTTCTCCTCGAAAATTCTAACTTCCCAGTAGGAAAAATCAAATGAAAAAAGACTGCAAAAGGAATGAAGATACACAGTAAATTTAGTTCACAGTAAAGATGTTTGCTTCAGTTTAATTATCAGCTTATAAAACTACAAGGACGATGTTAATACAAACAGTTGAATGTTATTTATCGTGATATTTATCAAATATTGTTATATATTGAGAAAAATATATATTTAATTATAAAAGAGAATTAAAATAATAAACACTCAAAATTATCGAAAATTGGTACTGTTAAGTACCGGTATCGATTCGTAGGTACCGGGAATTAGTACTGAATCGATTCAAATGTCAAAGGTACCCATCCCTACTAGTAACCAATGGCTAACTAGTAACTTGATGATTTTAGCTCTCATCATGAAAAGTTTGGACACCTCTGATGTAGAGAATAATAAATGAAAAATGTATTAATGTTCACAATGTAGAGGCTGAATTTTATTATTAAAATATTTAGCTTTTGTTCCCGTGAGAGCATTCTTACAAAAATCAAATAATTTATTTATAAATCAGCTAATAATTTTAGTCTTTCCTGTTTTATACTTAAGGGATGTTTTTTTATTCTGAACAGCTACAACAAAGATAAAAGTCTGCTCAGTTTTCTTTTCATTCTGGGTTTCTTACAGGTACCATCTGAAGGATGTCATTGTGGGGAAAATTTACTTCCTGCTGGTGAGGATTAAAATAAAGCACATGGAGATCGACATCATCAAGCGTGAGACAACAGGCACCGGTCCGAGCGTCTACCACGAAAATGACACCATTGCAAAGTACGAGATCATGGACGGCGCTCCGGTCAGAGGTAAACGCCGCCCATCCCAGATGAGACGTGAACAAATGGTTGTGACTGAGCTGTGAGGTGACCCGTGCGCCGTGTTTCAGGGGAGTCGATTCCCATCCGGTTGTTTCTGGCTGGTTATGATCTGACTCCCACCATGAGAGACATCAACAAGAAGTTCTCCGTGCGCTACTACCTGAACCTGGTGCTGATCGATGAGGAGGAGAGACGCTACTTTAAACAACAGGTAAGAAAACATTTTTTAAATGCATTTCAGTTGCATGATTCATGTGAATTTAAAGAAATCCTTTAGTAACAATTTGATACCCGAGGAAAAGATAAAACATGTAAAATCAAACAGCTCGACTTTCCAGTGTTTAACATCTGGTGGAGCACAAACTGCTCCTTTTAAATCCTGTTGATGTAAAATGATGAAGTATTGACCTCAAAAAATACATTTGTTCCACCTCGTGGGCATGAATTGATTGTAAAATCGATCTGCAACAGTCCATTAACTCTTCAACTCATGTCAACTAAAATGACTTCAGTGCTGAGCTGGTTTGTGGGTTGGACCAGTGATGTTCAAGGATTTAAGCAGCAGGTGGAACCAGAAGATTATTTTTCATTAGTGAACTTGGATTTAGAGCTCATTATGTTTAAAGGCTCTGAACGCAGCTCTGATTGTAAAAATCAGCTGGATCTTCTTGCTGTTCTCTTACCAGCATGCAGCAGATTTCCAGGGCAGTAACAGCGTTCATAGGACAGTCCTGCATGTTGTCAGTGTAAAGAGAGCCACAGTCAACATGACGTGTCATCACACACACGTTCAGCGCGAGAGCCAATCAGGCGCCTTTAGCTGTCTGATTTCAGCTCAGCTGAAGATGCGCTGACTCGCTCTGAAGTCACAGCCAGCAGCGGTCTAACACATAAAACATGAGCCGGCATCATAATAAAGGTTAGCCTTCCTCTGTGGCTCTCATTTCTGCGTCCCAGAATGCAACTCTGCGTGTTTACTAACTACACGATCAGCTCGATTGTTGCTGCTACGAGAGGGAAAATAAACAAATACATTGTGGAATTTTGCCTTTTGTGTTTTTTTACATCTTTTGTACGTTCATTCTGTTTTTTATTCTAACTGCATTACTTGGTTGGTCCAACTCAGCAAAAGAGCTGTTTCACCTTGTTTTCGCTGATGTTTTGGCTAACACTGTAGCTTTCCTCCACCGAAGGCTACAGCCTGATGTTGACATTTTGTAGACTACAAAAAATACACAAATAAGGGGTTTGACCTGACAGGATTTCATGTAGAGAAAAGATGGAGTTATGACTGTTTTTGTGAAGTTTTCTAAATAAAATTGTGCAATTTTTCAAGCTTTTATGTGATCTGTTAGCCCTCGTAATGGCTTTTAGCTACGATTACATCTGATTCTAGCTCTTTATTTGTAAAATATGGAGTTTTAGATCCATTTTTGTTGGGTACTGTTGATTAGCTGCGGCAGCCATCTTTAACTCATTCACTGCCAGCCGTTTCCTGATCAGGAAAGCCCTTTGCTGCCAGCGTTTTTCAGCGTTTTCAGTGTTAAGAGTCACAGAACATTGCGCTCTATGATGATGTCGACGCCAAAACTAACAAAGAGTAGACTCACCTCTTACATCAGGAAGAGACCGCATGTTTTGAGCTTCATCCATTTTTTTTTTCATAATCCGTTGTTGAATTGATCTACAGAAGCTTTTTCGGTTCGTGCCTCACTTTTTTTTACAGCAGCGGCCCAAAATGATCTCCTAACTCATGGATTTCCTGCTTCCTGGTCATGTGACGTGTGACGTACGCGGATGAAGATCAGCTTTAGAGCTGGGATGTTTGTTTCTGCGGGGCGGGGGCTCGTTCCGACGCCCTCGCAGTAAAAACAATGCAAATAACTACTTAAGTCGACATTGGCAGTGAATGAGTTAATTGAGTTGACTATAACAGCCAGTCAGGTGTTGGCGTGAATCTAATGGTTATTTTGTGTGATTTAAACCTGAGCAACGGCTGTTGGTGACGCAATTTCTTCGAGCTGTAAAATGAAAACAGTTGTAAAATGATAATTCCACAATAATCATTATATAGCAGCTTCACAGATGAAGATAAGTTGGACTAAAGTAATACACAAGCCTGCTGTGTACGGCTTTCTACAAAACATTCAAGAGCAACTGCAGTCAATCATTTCCATTTTTAACCTTATCCATGTTTTGTTTAGACCAGGGACTCCCAAAGTGTGGTGCGCGCACCCCCGGGGGTGCGCGAGCTGCCGCTAGGGGGTGCGCGAGGTGAAAAGTGTAATGGCTGCGGAGCTCAGAGAAGTCTATCAGATGTCACCATTAGCGTAGCCAGAAACTCATTTGTGGGTGGGCCAAAGAAAAAGTAAGTGGGCCCAATAAATGTAATTAAAAACAAGTATATTTTTGCGCGCACATGTGTGTCCTCCACATGTGCCCTAGCTTCATAATAACAATGCGCCGAGCTTCAGCACTCTGGTCTGCGCACGCCGATATGTTCCGTATTTGATCATTTTAACGGTGTTGGAGAGATCTGAAGGTGGCGAGTCATTCTGGCAGATTGTAATTAACACCCTGTCTCATGCAGGTGTTCTGACACTGTAAACCTCACACACAGAACATTGTGGATGTAACTAAATAAATCAAGACATGATTCCCATTCAGGCTATTAACAGCACGCTGAAGATCTGAAGTTCAGAGTGCGTCTGTCAGTGATTAGACGTGTTCCAGCAGAACCACGGCTCACGGGTGCACAAGTGAGCACATCTGGGCTGGGCAGATTGGTTTAAATAGCGCCATTAACGAGATGCAGTGACTGGAGCGGCTCATGGAGCTGTGCCGCGCGCGCGCGCACACACACACACACACAGATTCAATAAGCGCGCACGCTGCAAACTCCGGCGCGCCGTCAGACTGAAGACAAAAATGAGAGCTGCCTCCTCCGTGATAAAAACTTTTAAGAGATTTTATAACAAAATTTTTCATTCAAGGTCAAATTAAGATATTAGCTTCTATTTTGGGATGACGTATTAAAGTCGGGTCCGCTACAGCCAGTGACTCCTCATGAACCTGACCACAACTCATGTTACTGCAGCATTTGTTAGTCCGCGTGGCAGCGGATCGCAGATTCAGCCACACCATAAAACAGCAATATGTCGGTCTGAGGCAAAAGTGAACCTCATGGCATTTCCATCTTTTCCCGTACAGACATTTGATTACGCACAAGTAGGTGATCAGCTCAGGTTTACGCAGAGCAGAAGGAAGGAGAGCACTCTGGCCGCACAGCTTAAACGTTCCTACTTTAAGAAAACCGTTAAATTGCATTGTTTATGTGCTACCTGGGCACTCTATATATTTATTTAAAATTAAATTAAAGGAAATTGTAATGGTATCGAATGTTTATTAATTACTATTTAAAAAATGAAAGTGATGGGGAAAAAGGTCGATCATATTTTTTTAACCCAGTCTGTGTAGCTTGACATCTGATATATATATATATATATATATATATATATATATAGCCATGCCCTGATGTGGGGGCGGGGTGCGTCGACATGGTCGGGACATAGAAGGGGGTGCGCGGCTAAATAAGTTTGGGAACCACTGGTTTAGACAATAGTTTGTTTTCCAGCTTGAGTTTCTGGTCTGTTTTAATCTGCTTAAAGCTGTGCAATACTCACTTCCACCAGTGGGTGGCACTAACACAACATATCCTGTTTTAAACATTATAATCACTTAAAATGAGACCAAATAAACACTATATATATATATATATATATATATATATATATATATATATATATATATATATATATATATCAGGGATGTGTATTTTTGAAATTCTGGTGATACGATACATATCACGATACAGGGGAGACGATACGATAAATCACAATATATTGCGATACATTCAGTCAGATGTCACAAGCAATTTTTTTTACTGAATTTATTGTAAGAATGTTCAATAAACAGTCCAAACTGATACATAACATGTTTAACATGAGGTATCTGAACCATGATGGAGGGATTTACAGTTAAATGGTGGAAACAAAACCCATTGCACACTGCTGCCAACTAGCGGGTGGCGATTAAATAGCACAAAACGAAAAGAAAATACACAAAAGTTTGCATGTAAATTCTTTCAAGAATTAGATACACGACTTTTGAATATCGATGTAATAATCGCATGAAAAAATATCACGATATATTGCCATATCGATATTTTCTTACATCCCTAATTATATATATATATATCCTCCCTTCATGTCAAGGACGGCGACACACTATCGCCCCCTATAGACGAGCCACCACTGGTCATGAGATATATGCCATTAATCCACTTTTTCAAGTTTCATTTTGTTCATAAAGTATGATGATGAAAACGATGGATTTATAAACATTTTCATAAATAAATCACCAAATGTTTCATGCCCTTCCTTGTGTAGGAGATCACACTGTGGAGGAAAGGAGACGTAGTGAGAAAGAGCATGTCTCACCAGGCGGCCATCGCCTCTCAGAGGTTTGAGGGCTCGGCTGCCTCGGAGAGCGCCCTGGAAAAGGCTGCGAAGGAGGAGAGCGGGTAGAGGCTCCACCCCCCCCTCCTCCTCTCGAGACTCGTCAGCGTCTGCTCCACACGACCGCTTACCTGTCGACTGTGCAAACATCTAGTGAGGAAGCCGTTTTGTTTGTAGCACCTCCAGGTTTAAAGGGAGGAAGAAGGGAAACGAACATTCGCACTAAAAACCGAGTGTGAACTACCAAACTGTCTGCATGAGGCATTCAGAGCGGCTTCCAGCTGCCGGTCATTTCCTTCCTCTTCATGCATTTTTATTTCTGTACGGGAATCAAGCTAACCAATCACCTGTCGCTGTGTCTGCTGATTAAGATCACATGAAGTTCTTACATTTGTTTAGTCTTGTTTGTTACTTTCTAACTCTTTAGAGGATACATCCATTTCCTGTCTCTTCGCAGCTTTTAGCAACCAATCTAATTTTTCACATTTATTAACATTCCCAGCATCCTTCCACAGTCAGAAAGTTAGAACCAACTTTGCACTGCTTTGTCTTGCGGAACATGTTTTTGTTTTTGAGTGTCTTTGCACAAAAAGAAAAAAAAATTGTTGGAAGTAGAAACTGGAATCTCTTGTTCCTGTCAGAGCAAGAGGGCTAAAGTGTTATCACACACATTATTTTTAAATCTGTAAATAAGACCAGTTAAACTTGTTATCCAGCATGTATAGGTTGATTATCCAGTACACCGTGCTGCAGAACGACCATCCATGTGTGTGTGCTTTACCTCAGCATTCCAGTGGTGTTCAGAGAGGATGTCAACGTGTTTGTATTAAGGTCTAACCATGTGAATGGAGTCTTCTTTCTCCTCTGTAATAGAGACTTGACAGTTGTGCCTATGTGTATTAAGATAATGAAGAATCTTCCTGCCTCTAACATGATTTTAGTCTTTTAACCAGAGGAAAATTAAAGTAGAACTATCTATCTTTTGCAAAATGCTTATCATTTATTCTTTGTTCCCAGAAGTCAAATAAATTGATGCCAAATGCTAAACCATCAGGTGTGCTTCAGTGATTGTGCTCTACAAAATCTTTACTTTCATACAAATGGACTTCTCCAAGTTCAGCCCAAACTACTTTAAAAACCTCTAAAGAAGATTCTTCCTGATAAATCACTCATCAGAAGCTTCACTTGTGATCTACCAAAGCCAGAAAAAAGTCACATTTCTGAAGACGGAAACACATTCTGTGACCTGAACGCTGACATTAGGTCAGAAGAACACTCGGGAGACTTTTATTTGACAAAGATGAGCGGAAAAGTTCTAGGAAAACTTCAGACTCAGATCAGGAGGGAATATCTTGTCATCAACAGCATCAAACTTGCTGAACAGTTGCGTTTGAGAGGATGCAAGCTGTCTAAACGCTCAGCTCCATGCATCTGATGGGAGAAGTAACTTCTCAAAGAAGCCAGTGGGGTGTGACTTTATTTATGCTCTGCGTTGTTATGATTGCTGCACTAATTTATCATGAAAACAACTTTTAAAATGTTCATGTAACGGCACGAAGGTTCTCTGATTTGTGCCAAAGGTCGGATTTGCCCGGCTGGGTCAAGCTGGGTCAAACAGTACTTTGAATCCACAGATTAAACCCAAGGAGCCACGATGTCTGCTCAAGACCATAACATCATATCTGCTGTTCCGTCCCAGAAGGACACTTCAAGCCACGATGATAATAATTATATAATATTCATTGATTTTATTACTGTTTAATATAATCATTACAACATGATCACTTGGTTCATTATAAAGGTATCTTAATTACATGAAATGGATTATTATGCTTTGGGTATAATAATGATTAATTATGATTATAAAGATGTGTTCAGCAAAGAAGACCTTTACCCTATTCAGCCAACAGAGTTCACATAAACAATAACTGCATCACATGTTTTTTGACGCATGAGCAAGCTTTCTTCCGGAGAGACTGGGAGTGGTTCTGAGAGCTTTTGGTAAAACTAATCATCACAGATTTCACTTCCAGTTCTGAACAAGACATCACCCTGAGGAGTCCGGGACGGCCACCCTGAACCTCTGCCTGCTGTTCTGTCACGCCGACAAGAATGGCTAAAGAACAAACGAAACTAATGAATTAACGAAAGACTCTCCCAGAGTCATTGATTTCTGAAGTTAATTTAAATACGAGAACGTTCATCTGCCAAACGCTTCGTAAGCCGTGTACCCAGGGCATCTCTGGACCGGACCATCGGACACTTGCGTCTCCTCTACCAGCCGAAGTGTCACCTTGGATGAAACCATCCTCCTGATGTCTGGATCCACAAAGGGGGCCCTGTTTGGGTGAAGTAGAACACGACAGATGACGTTTGATGCTGTTTTCTCTTGAAATAACTCAGTTATCTGCAAAACATCATTTTCACCCAGAACGCTTCATTCCCTCTGAAAGAAACCTCCTGAGAACTCCATTCACGCATCCAAAACTCGTCATTCTCAAATTAGTTTTCCACCCAACACAGGTTTGCTTTTAAACAAGTTTAATATCAAAGCTGTTGAGAATTGTCATTAAAATTACCATCCATGAATTGTCATTTTTATAAATGTCGTTTCAAATTTTCAGTTTAAAAATTGTAATAAAACTTCTTCATTTTTAAACTCGCCTCATTATTGAAACGAAACACAGAAAAGGGTTGCATTTCCATTTATCGAATGAAAAGAATCTTACTGAATCTTCTGTTTAATAAATAAACTTTTGCTATTAATTTTAGTATCTTAAATTAATTTTCACCCCATTACATTAATTTATTAAGTAAACGGGTTTTCATAATTAAAATAAATGGTGCTAAGTTCCACAATGTTTCCCATCTGTTACATAACATACAATTAAAGCACAGCTACAGTTCATTTAGGGCAGGGCTAGTCAACTCCGGGCCTGGAGGAATTGAATTTGAATTGAATTGAATCCAGCACATTTTAGTTTTAACCATGCTTCAACACACCTGATTTCAATCAGCAGGTGATTAACGAGCTTCTGCAGAGCCTGATGAGCTGCTGCATAGGTGATTCAACCACTGAATCTAGTGTGTTGGAGCAGAGAAACCACTAAAACGTGCTGGATGCAGGCCTTCGAAGGCCAGGATTGAAAGGCCCTGCTTTAGGGAGTGGCCGTTTTTTACTGTAAGCCATTTTCAGCCGCTTATCCCAAGTCGGGTCGCGGGGACAGTAGTCTAAGCAGGGAGGTCCAGACTTCCCTCTCGTTCACTGGGGTAAACCTTAACGTACAGGCACCAAAATGGGGGGGGGGCACTAGTATGCCCACCCCTGCTCGGCGCCTCTCAGGGGCGCAACTCCAGAGTGGCAGAGTGTCCAGTCCCTCTCAATGAAACTGGTTCCGGAGCCTGAGTCATGCGTCGAGGTGAATCTGACTATATCTAGTCAGAACCTCTCAACTTCACGCATCAACTCAGACTCCTTCCCCACCAGAGAGGTGGCACTCCACACACCGAGCTAGCTTCTGTAGCCGAGGAGCAGACCGTCAAGGTCCCTGCCTTTGACTACCACCCATCACTTATTGCACCTGACCCCTCTGGCCCCTCCCACAAGTGGTGAGCCCATGGGAAGGGGGACCCACATTTCCTCTTTGAAAGCCAACGTGCCCCATCTCCAGGCCTAGCTCCAGAGAGGGGCCCCGGTGGCCTGCATGCGGGCGGTTTTCATTTGTATTGTTCATCATAAAGGGCCTGGTAAATCATCAAATACAGGTCCTTTTCAAAAAATTAGCATATTGTGATCAAGTTCATTATTGTCTGTAATGTACTGATAAACATTAGACTTTCATATATATATTAGATTCATTACACACACGTGAAGTAGTTCAAGCCTTTTATTGTTTCTAATTTTGATGATTTTGGCATACAGCTCATGAAAACCCAAAATTCCTATCAAAAAATTAGCATATCATGAAAATGTTCTCTGAACGAGCTATTAACCTAATCATCTGAATCAACTAATTAACTCTTAACACCTGCAAAAGATTCCTGAGGCTTTTAAAAACTCCCAGCCTGGTTCATTACTCAAAACTGCAATCATGGGTAAGACTGCCGACCTGACTGCTGTCCAGAAGGCCATCATTGACACCCTCAAGCAAGAGGGTAAGACACAGAAAGAAATTTCTGAACAAATAGGCTGTTCCCAGAGCGCTGTATCAAGGCACCTCAGTGGGAAGTCTGTGGGAAGGAAAAAGTGTGGCAGGAAACGCTGCACAACGAGAAGAGGTGACCGGACCCTGAGGAAGATTGTGGAGAAGGACCGATTCCAGAACTTGGAGGACCTGCGGAAGCAGTGGACTGAGCTGGAGTAGAAACATCCAGAGCCACCGTGTACAGGCATGTGCAGGAAATGGGCTACAGGTGCCGCATTCCTAAGGTCAAGCCACTTTTGAACCAGAAACAGTGACAGAAGCGCCTGACCTGGGCTACGGAGAAGCAGCACTGGACTGCTCAGTGGTCCAAAGTACTTTTTTCGGATGAAAGCAAATTTTGCATGTCATTCGGAAATCAAGGTGCCAGAGTCTGGAGGAAGACTGGAAAGAGGGAAATGCCAAAATGCCTGAAGTCCAGGGTCAAGTACCCACAGTCAGTGATGGTCTGGGGTGCCATGTCAGCTGCTGGTGTTGGTCCACTGTGTTTTATCAAGGGCAGGGTCAATGCAGCTAGCTATCAGGAGATTTTGGAGCACGTCATGCTTCCATCTGCTGAAAAGCTTTATAGAGATGAAGATTTCATTTTTCAGCACGACCTGGCATCTGCTCACAGTGCCAAAACCACTGGTAAATGGTGCACTGACCATGGTATTACTGTGCTCAATTGGCCTACCAACTCTCCTGACCTGAACCCCATAGAGAACCTGTGGGATATTGTGAAGGGAAGGTTGAGAGATGCAACACCCAACACTCTGGATGAGCTTAAGGCCGCTATCGAAGCATCCTGGGCCTCCATAACACCTCAGCAGTGCCACAGGCTGATTGCCTCCATGCCACGCCGCATTGAAGCAGTCATCATTTCTGCAAAAGGATTCCCGACCAAGTATTGAGTGCGTAACTGAACATAATTATTTGAAGGTTGACTTTTTTGTGTTAAAACACTTTTCTTTTATTGGTCAGATGAAATCTGCTAATTTTTTGAGATAGGAATTTTGGGTTTTCATGAGCTGTATGCCAAAATCATCAATATTAGAAACAATAAGAGGCTTGAACTACTTCAGTTGTGTGTAATAAATCTAATATATATGAAAGTCTAATGTTTATCAGTACATTACAGATAATAATGAACTTTATCACAATATGCTAATTTTTGGAGAAGGACCTGTATATGTAAATATAGTCTGGCTACGACCCTTACAGAGCTCTGGTAAGGTAATATAGTCATGCGAATGACCTACAGTTGTACAGTTTTCTTTCTCTGCATGCTATTATACAATGAACAACATGACGGACAACTACAAATGTCAGTCAACTGGCCATACACCATCAAAGAAGATGCAAATGCATGCTTTTTTTAAATAAAGGACTTTCTTTTTTCACTTGTCCTGTCCTACCATACCATACCAAGTTTATTTGTATAGCACATTTAAACACGGCATGAGAGCCGACCAAAGTGCTGAACAAAAACCCACAATAAAAACAATCAAAAATAAAAACTAAAACCATTAAAATCAAGTAATCCAACTCGAAAAGAAAAGGAGAAAGGGAATAAGTTAGACTGAATTAAAAGCCAACGAATAAAAGTGAGTTTTTAAACGAGACTTAAAAAGGGAAAGAGAGGAAGAGAGTCTGATCAGGAGGGGCAAGTGGTTCCAGAGCTTCGGTGCACAAATTGAAAAGGCGCGCTCCCCGCGGGATTTACAGCGAGAGCTAGGGACATGTAGGAGGTGCTGGTCGGCTGATCGGAGGGATCTTGTAGGGACATAAGGGTGAATGAGCTCAGACAAGTAGCCAGGTGCTAAGTTATTGAGGGATTTAAACACAAAAGCCAGGATCTTAAACTCTATCTGGAGATGGCAGTAGCAGCAGACAGAATGGTTGATCTGGGTTGCATTGCATGCCAGAGCAGTTTTACTCTACAGCAAGAGGGAGGTGGATATTCCAGCTGTAGCGCAGTGGCCTATAATCACCTACCTCAGACTGCAATCACCTATCAGAGTGGACAGGCAAGGAGAAGAGACAAATGGAAAGAGAGGGAGGGGGGAATAGATGGATAACGGTACACAGCAGTCTCCCTAGCATTTTTGGTCTCTTGGTAAATGTATTGTATTTACACCAACCCCCCAAGGCGCTTCACAACACAATTAGTCATCCACCCGTTCACATGCTGGTGATGAACTACAATGTAGCCACAGCTGCCCTGGGGCGCACTGACCGAGGTGAGGCCTGCCGTAGTTGCCTCACCCATCCCTCCAACCACCACCAGCAGGCAAGGTGGGTTAAGCGTCTTGCCCAAGGACACAACAGCAGCATTCTGTGGTGGGAGCTGGGATCAAACCTGCAACTTTCTGATTGCTGGAAAACCCGCTCTACCTCCTGAGCTACTGCTGCCGTGCCACATTATGCAAAATAAACACCAGTGAGTGTGTGGATCAGATTTATGTAGGAACACCAGACACGGCTCTTTTCACACAACTAAAAAAAAAACAATCGGCTAGAAACCAGTTTGGACATCGGATCTCAGAAGATATGTGGAATGTGCCGTTGCTATGGCAACTCAACTCTGTCTCCTTTCCCAGCCTGGGTGGGAATGCGGGAAGGCCGCTGAAACGCTCCAGTGTCACTGCAACCCTCCAACCCTCCATGCTCCTCCCCCTATCCACACTGAGGTGACATGCCCTGCTTCTATCGTGGCTGCAGGAACTGAAGTGGGGATAGTCCCAACCCACCACCCCTCCTAGTGGACACTCGTGTTGTCTGAAGTCTGTTGCATATATGTTTGAGGTGTTTTTTTGCAGAGCAAAGCTGCCCTCCCATTGGAGGGTAACTCTGAAGTGCCTTTTTCCCTCCACCTGAACCAATCCTCATGTAACCCTCTTATCTCTATTAAGGTAGCACGACTCAGGGTTGCGAATGACCACAGTCACCACTTCTTAAAGTTAGAATCCCATTAGTTGTCACACACACTGGTTTGTGTGCGAAATTTGTTCTCCTGTATTTGACCCATCCCCTGGGGGAGCGGTGAGCTGTAGACACAGCCGCGCTCGGGAACCATTTGGTGGTTTAACCCCCCAATCCAACCCCTTAATGCTGAGTGTCAAGCAGGGAGGCATTGGGTCCCATTTTTTCAAAGTCTTTGGTATGACCCGACCAGGAATCTAACCCTGATCTCCCAGTCTCAGGGCGGACACGCTACCACTAGGCCACTGAGCATGTGTCTTGCCCATGTATGTCTGATCTCTGAATTGTGTGTACTGAAACTAATTTCCCTCTGAGATTAATAAAGTATCTTTGATTTTGATTGATTGTGCAGAGTGACGTTCCATTTTACCTTCCTGAATGATCAGAGAACAACCCTCTGTGCGTTTTGGAGGAAGTGAAACCCTTTGTTTGATTTGTTGTCGCAGCACATATACCGACCGACCTGATTATGAAACCTGACAGTCTGTTCATCTGGGGGAACAACAAGCACCTGAAGCTGTTAACAGCTGGATCTTGTGAATTATGATTTAAATAACAGCAATAAAGCTCACAAGTCAAATCAGATTCATCGCTGATGCATTTAATGCTCTAAAAATAAGAATGCAACAGTTGCATGTTGCTTCGATGATTTTATAGCATCGTGAAATCAATCTTCAGTGTGGCTCTTTGACCTCCAAACTCAGGATAAAGTCAAACTCCTCTGCGGAGATAAAAATAAAAATCGATTACAGGAAGTTGATGAGCGAGTGATAAAACACAGCGACTGGTTCTTGTTACACACCAGAGGTGAGAGGCTGAACGGAGAGCCTGGCTCTGGTGAACAGCGCCACGTCCTTTAAAGGCCCTCCATCAGCACGATGCTGCAGGTGGTGCTTCTTCAGCTCCGACAGAGGAACAAAACGCTTCATCATCCTTTGAAACCGAACATCTACCTGAAAACAGGGTGCAGCATCAGCCACCAGACATGACCTTCACCGTGATGTGTTCAGCTTACCATGCTCCACTTGGGGTTGTCTGGTTTGCTGCTCACGTCGTAGTGCACGTCTTTCTTGTCAAACTGTGTGTGGTCCACGTAAGCTTCCTTCGCTATCTAAAAGAGAGAAAAGCAAAAATCAAACCCAGCTAGGGTTTTATTTGAAGGCAGCAATCCAGTTTTCCCCCTTCAGGAAATATGATTTTTTAGAAATCTGTAAAACTATCAGTTTTACTCATCATGTGATACGACAGCAATATGTCAGTTTGGTCATTTTGCTAACCTCGCTCTCCCGTCCCGTAGAGCACCGTGCAATTTTATATATATATATGTGTGTGTGTGTGTGTTTATGTTTATTTATTTGGCAGATGCTTTCATCCAAAGCGATGTACAATTTTTAACCTATAGGTCATGTAGTGATCTGCGGGGAAACCCACGCATGCACGGGGAGAACATGCAACTCCATGCAGAAAGACCACAGTAATCAGGTTATCTGCGGGTTTAAGGGAGCCAAATTTAAGATTTTTTATACCTTTTTAAGACCACTTTGACCAAATTTAAGCTTTTTTTTTTCTTTTTAAAATTAAATTTAAGCTATAATTTCCAGCCATTGCCTGGAACCGTTGCTAACCATGTCGCGAACGTGGGATTAGCCATCCAGTTACCATTCAACTTGCACTTCCCCATGGCGCAAGCTCCCACTAGCTTAACCAGCTAATGTGCTCATCTAAAGAAAGCCCCCTTTCACAACCAACTGAATGTGAACGGTTCCGCTTTTGCCAATGTCGCACACAACAAATGCTGAACACTAAGTAGAAATTCAAGAAAATTTTGTAGAAATAAAAGAATTTTGTTTATTGGGTCTTTGGTAATTTAAGACCTTTGGAAACTCTACTTAAGGATTATTTGTAATTTTTAAGGATTTTAAAGGCCTTAAATTTGGAAAAGCAAATTTAACACTTTTTAAGACTTTTAAGGACCCGCGGATACACTGAGTAATATATACATCTATATTACATTATTACTGTTACACCTGCTTAGACTCTATTAAATCCTGGATATGTGAACTTCAACTGAATGAAGATAAGACTGAGATCCTCATCTGTGCCCCAGACACGCTGGTTCCCAAAGTCGGAGACTCTCTTGGTCAGCTTGCTTCTCACACCAAACCCTCTGTCAGGAATCTTGGCGTGACCTTTGACCCAGCTCTCACCCTGGATTCTCATGTCAGTTCTCTTGTTCGCTCTTCCTTCTTCCATCTCAGGAACATTGCTAAGCTGAGTCCCATTCTGTCCCACCCTGAACTTGAGACAGTTCTCCACGCCTTCATCTCCTCACGCTTAGACTACTGTAACTCTCTTTTCACGTTTCTGAGCAGAACCTCCCTGAACCGTCTACAGGTGGTTCAGAACACACCCACATCACCCCGCTCCTCCTCCAGCTTCCCCAACTTCAGGTTTCATTTCAAGATCCTGGCTCTGGTTTTTAGGGCCTAAATTGACAATCACCGTCTTACAATGGGGATATCCTCAGACCCAGCAGGTCCCTGAGGTCCAGTGACCAAAGCCTACTGGTTGTGCAGCGCACCTGTCTAAAGACCAAAGGTGACAGATCATTTGCTGCTGCGGCCCCCAGACTCTGGACCTCTCTCTCCCCGAGCCTGAGATCAGTGGACTCAGTGGCGGCAGTATGCACCCCCACGTCAAAACGACCGGCTCGGCCACGGAAGGTGTACCATTACGTCTATAAGCAATCCGATTCACCGTGGCTAAATTATTAGCAAAAAACATCAATTTATTTTTCATTTTTGAGTGTGCATGTCAAACAAGAGTCAACATTGAGAAACCGTTTCCTGAATGGCGAGAGCTGAGAGGCAAGAAGGATTCAAATTGGATGCAGACCTCACGGTCATGCTGTTGTGCTTGTAAGTAGAACTTTAATATGTGGTCAGCTGGTTTGAAAACATGGGCGCAAGCCAAAACAGTCCACCTTCTCTTTAACAAAAGAAATAAACTCACTTTCATGAGTCCTGCAACCCCCGGTTCCTTACAGTTGCTGTGGTAAAAGAAAGCCAGCTGCCCCTCCTTCATCTGCCTCATGAAGTTACGAGCCTGCGAAAGAGTCATCAACACAAAACCCTGTTTGTTTGTTTTTTCATGTTTCTTACTTTCTCGCGGCTTTACCTGATAGTTGCGGACACCATCCCAGCAGCTGGTCTGATCAGGCAGAGCCTTCAGATCCTCAATACCAAACTGTAAAAGGATTTCATGACTGTTAGAAATCAGAGTTTGCATCAGCCTGAGACGCAGCTGCGTACCTTCACGTCGACGCCGTTCTCAAAGCGACTCTCTGGCTCAGACTTCATCAGCCAGTGGCTGTAAACTGGCACGCCTGCTGACTCACAACCATCTCCTGCTGCAGCTTTTCTCTTCCTGCCTGCTGCAGACGGCCCAACTGCATCATCACTTTTGCCTGCAATGTTGCCACAGTCTTTAGAAGACGTCGTCAAACAGTAAGTACTTCTATGAGTGTTTTGGTGTTTGCTCACCTGAACTTTCTGATCTTTTGCCAACTCTGGGCCTTTTCTTGGGAGGCATTCCTTAGAATCCGTAAAGCTCCAGAGGTTAAGATGACTATATCTTTAGATAAAAATAAAACATTCATTTGGTTAATTTGTTCCAAGATAACAGCCCCACCATCCGCTCCACCTCTTTCCCCATTTTGGGAATGTCTGGGCATGACGGGACTGTCAAAAGGGCAGTGGTGGGAACATCCCATTTGGAAACAAAAACATAAAATTCAAGCCTTTGAACATTATTTGTCAAGTATATATCTTGACGGTGTGGAACGAACGCGGCCGGGCCCGGGCAGGGCGGAGTGGAATGTAGCTGATGCTAGTGCAGGGGTGGGCAATCCTGGTCCTCGAGGGCTGCTATCCAGCAGGTTTTAGTTGTTTCTCTGCCTAAACACACCTGGTTTGAATCTGCTGGTGATTAACAGGATGGTGCAGAGCCTGATGAGCTGCTGAACAGGTGATTTATCCAGGAATCAGATGTGTTGGAGCAGAAAAACAACTAAAACATGCTGGATAGTGGCCCTCAAGGACCAGGATTGCCCATCCCTGTGCTAGTGTTTAAGTAGCATTAGCAAAAAGAAAACTGACCCATTGCCTTCTTTATAGCAACAGGGAAAGACTCAAGTTTTCAAGGATATTTAAAAAATATAACAAATAAATAATCATACAAAATGACTGAAAATCGGAAAGCCCTGGATTTCTGCTTTGATGTAAATGTTATTTTACAGTCTTTATGTTGCCAAAATGTTCACATCTCATCGTTATTTTTAGTCAACCTACTAAGAAACCTAACCGATTTCTGATGCAGAAACCCAGATTTCTGTGAAAAATAACAACAAAAATGTTTCTGTTTATTCATTTTTAAGATTAAAGTTCATTTACAAAATGTCGACACATATTGTACCAACCACCATTTAGACTAGTCAAGACTAGTCACCATTTCTCCAAACAGAGGTTGTTCCAAGAACTATAGGTCTATAGAAGGCATGATAAAAGCTCTTCAAATAACTGAATAACTACTTTAATGTATCAGTTTAACTTCCAGATAAGTCTTATAAATTTAACTTGTGCTTGCAGTGTGCTCCAATGTCTTTAGTGTGCAGTATTACATTTATTGTGATCAAGGCCAAAAATATCTTAAGATCACATTCATTCTGGCAACGATAACTCGGGCTCTCACTACAAGTAAACCATTCCTGATAAATATGAATAGTGTGAAGATCCGCTTTTTGTCAGAGATTGTTTAACACCTCCGCTTTGTCTGGAGCACTGTAGACCAAAACTAAGGTTAACGTACTGCCCAGTGTGTCCTAACAGCACCATAAGTATGTGTGCCAAACAAAATCATCCAACACTGGACTGTAGTATCAACAAGCACGTCGTACCTTCAACTCAGCAGTTGATCAGGAAGTGCCATCAGAAGCCGCGAAAAGTCCTAATCACGTGATGTCAACACGACACCTTCGGCAATCAAATGTTGCACTCAAAGCCAACAAGAGAGCCGGAAAATAAACGCATCTGTGAAGAAAAGTTAAAAAATGGCATGGTGATAATAATTTCTATTTATTTAGTTCATATTGTAACTGTATGAACTTTAACTACATTATTGTTTATTACTTACACACTAGGGATTATTCTTTTGATATATGCTTAAGTTACTCGAAAAATATTCGATAAAATGTGACTTCTTATATTGTGTTGGTATTAGCTAGCAAAACAAATTTGCTGCAAATTATTACTGTATTTAATTTTACCTCTCACGTAGGTCCATAGTTACGTTCAAACGTTAATTTTCGAGTTTACCTGAACGCAGCAAATTCGCTGATAATTTTAAATTGGTTTATTGTAACTTTATTTAATTAATAAAACACAGAACTATGTACTACGGCTCCGCAATACACCAATGATAACATGTCAGATAATTTATTATTTCGTGATAAACAGTTTAGACGTTGGGCAGGAATGTAGGTCGAGTATTAAAACTACATTACCCAGCAACCCTAGCGGCTCCTCTCACTGAGGAGGTAAACATGGCTGCCCTAGGTCCTCTATCTAGGCTCGCTGGGCTTGGATGCATCAATAGAAGCCGATTAATGCTTAATAGAGTTTTACAGAAACGAGGAATTGCTTCATGTATCGACCGTAAGTCTGATTTTACGAGATGTGTTGCATGTGAATTTAAATCATAGTCGAGTGAGGAGAGAAAAGCTAACTTAGTTGGCTACTGAGCTAATGCCATGACGATGTGCCACACACATTTCTCTAGTACGTGAAGTAACCTACTGCGACACGGTTTTAAACCGTAGTTTCAGTACCCAGCTTACTGTCCTTGGTTAGTTTCAGCAGCTTCCCAGTCTTCCAGGTGTGAGGCAGAGGTGACTAACACCTCATTTATTTTCTCCTCTAGACAAGGCTCCAAAATTTCAAATCAAATGTCTCCTAAGTAGTCCAAAAAACTCACATAGTCCGGCTTCTAGGACTTAGCGTTGGATCCTGTGGTTTAGTATCTTCCTCCAAAGCAAAATGGCATTCTGTAAAATAGAAAATTTGTTCCAGTCGTTCTGAATGTTTTTAAATCTGTTGACAGCGTCTCATGGACTCACAGATGAACAGAAAGAGTTTCAAAAAGTGGCCTTTGACTTTGCAGCCAATGAAATGGCTCCAAACATGGCGGAGTGGGACCAAAAGGTGTGTAGCAGTGAGTCCTATGATAATAATGTTCCGGAAATGGTAATAAACCGCCATTTTTAACTTAATACAGTATTATTACCACTGTTGCATCTTGTGATTATGTTAAAAGGTTTGGATTTATTTTTAACCAGTCACCTTGCTAGATGCTATAGGACTGACTACTTTTCTTATTTTTCTTGCAGGAAATCTTCCCCGTAGAGACGATGAGGAAAGCAGCGCAACTGGGGTTTGGTGGGATCTATGTCCGGCCCGACGTTGGGGGATCGGGCCTTTCTCGGCTGGACACCTCGATCATCTTCGAGGCTCTGTCCACAGGATGCGTGAGCACCACGGCTTATATTAGCATCCACAAGTACGGCCCTCCTGCGTCACAGCTGTTTATTAGAATTCAAATTTAACATGTATTGAACAGTGTCCTATTTGTAAAATAAAGGTCACAGAACTTTATTTACCAAATAATTTAGATAAGTTATTTTAAGGTGTTGTTAGATATTTATACTTTTCCCACTTCTGATTTTGCAGCATGTGTGCCTGGATGATTGACACTTTTGGCAACACAAATCAGAGGGAGAAGTACTGTCCTGATCTCTGTTCGATGGAAAGGTTTGCATCTTACTGTCTCACTGAACCAGGTCAGTAGCTGTGTGATAAGTTCATATAGTCATAACAGTAAACAAGTTGTGTAAATGACAGACATGATACACCAGAGATGGTTTTTTTTGTAGGCAGCGGCAGTGATGCTGCTTCACTCCTGACTTCTGCGCAGCAGAAAGGCGACCATTACGTCCTAAACGGCTCTAAGGTAATTCCAATCATGCGGTGCCTTTTATCTGGTTTTAGGTTTGCATGTAACTCATTTCTTCTGAACCTTTTAGGCTTTTATCAGTGGAGGAGGAGACACGGATGTCTACGTGGTGATGTGCAGAACTGGAGGTAAAGGATCCAAAGGCATCTCGTGTTTGGTGGTGGAGAAGGGAACACCAGGTCTCAGTTTTGGCAAAAAAGAAAAGAAGGTGAAAGCTCAGTGTTGCTTTTCTGAGATGCTTGAAAGTTGTTCCGCATGGCCACTAGGTGGCAGAGTTAACTTACAGGCACTCTGTTTACCCTGGTCTGCAGGTGGGTTGGAACTCTCAGCCCACCAGGGCGGTGATATTCGAGGACTGCGCGGTTCCGGTCACCAACCGGCTCGGGGAGGAAGGACAGGGCTTCAGCATCGCCATGAAAGGCCTGAATGGAGGCAGGATTAATATCGGTAAGCTGGGTGTCCTTGGCTGCTTTTAAAGAAGATTTAACGGTAAAATCAGACACTCGGTGTAAAAATGTCTTTTTGGTAATAAAATGTTGTCACTTTGCACAAAAACAAAGCAGTTTATGTCAGTTCAACACAAAATGGCATTTTATGAAAAGTTGCCTGTTAATCAACTTTGAATTTTATTTTATATCGTCATGTTTTTCTTTGGTATCGTGCACATTTAGGAGGTAACAAATGGTTTTACTAGCCGTGGATTAGCACGTCGTTCCTGTAAACAAAAAGCAGAATCCAGAAACTTTTTATCTGCTTTCACACTTTAGAGTTCTTTGCTGATAAGAGATCTTTAAAAATTTTCAACCTACCTGTTCCTAATGACTTATTGCCATTATACTTGTATAGTGACTTTCAGAGTCAGAGGACTCCAAAGCACTTTACATTACAGTTAAACACACACACACACACACACACACACACACACACACACACACACACACACACACACACACACACACACACACACACACACACACACACACACACACACACACACACACACACACACACACACACACAGGTGGGGATGAGCTACATTGCAGCCACAGCTGCCCTGGGGCGCACTGACAGAAGAGGTTGCTGTACACGGACGGCACCGGTCTCTCCGACCACCAACAAGCGAAGGTCTTGCCCAAGGACACATGACTGCGGCAGCCTGGGTTTGAACCTGCAATCTACCGATCACCAGCTGAACTCCTGACCTCTGAGCCACCCTCGCCCCAAAGTGGTTAAAGCAAAAACATCGGGAGTCCCGGAGGGACTTTGTTTTATCGAGACCCTGAAAATATGTTGCTTTTTTTTCTTGGGAGGTTCTGCTTTGCTCAGCTGAGCAGGACCAATCGACAGAGGCGATCACAGATATGTGGCGGGAGCTTGTGGCCGCCTGCGTGTAGCAGCAGTTCCCAGCTGAGAGACAGGAGGGGCTGGGTAACCGCCTGAAGGAGGAAGACGCAGATTCGCGGGTCTCTGATCGCAGGACAGCTGCAGTGCTGTCAAAAAAGAGGCACCCTATAGAAACTCGTCAAATCTCTCAGCAGCAGCAGCAACCTCGCAAATCTTTGACCATAATGGAGCAGCGGATCCCCAAAACCTCTGCTAGCTAGCAGCTTAGGAGTTTCAGTACCCAGTCAGCCAGCCCCACCAACACGTTGTGTTTCAACCCATCTTTGAGCAAGCAGGGAAATAAAGTACAGAAATATTCTACTTACTGATAAAAAGAAGCAGAAACCGTGTGGATGATCTGTTAGTGCAGTCGATAACCACAGCTTGCCCTTTTTGTCCACGAGGAACATCAAACACAAACACGCGGAGGACACAACTAAAGTCAGAGAGCTGAAATAGCCGAACATCTATTAACGCGAGACCCGGGGCTGAGGCCTTTTCCCGGAGCTAGCTCTCACGTGGCTCTGATGCTCATTAATTATTCTAAATTTTAAGCATTAAATTACACTTAAACAGAAGAGTTATAAAAGCCAGGCTGTTAACATGTTTATTTCTGTTGTGGATTTTGCATTTTTAACATGGGAGTCAGGAGCTTGCTCTGTTTTGGTGCCGGCCCCTAGTGGATGAGGGTGGAACTGCACTTTTTTCCACTTCTCGTCGGCTTCATAAAATTCGGAACAAAATGGCCCCTTGGTAAAAACACTTGGATATAAAAGTCTCATCTTGATAGCACGTGGTTTCCTGACATTCTTCCTCTCTGCCTCCAGCTTCCTGTTCGTTGGGGGCAGCCCACGCCTCCGTGCTGCTCGCCAGGGATCACCTGCTGGTTCGCAAACAGTTCGGAGAGACGCTCGCCAACAGCCAGGTGAGTCGCTCACACTTTCCCCCAGGAGCCCTGTAGTTCCCTCACTAATGAGTACTGTCTTAATATTCAGTTCCTTCAGTTCAAACTGGCAGAAATGGCCACCAAGTTGGTGGCGGCGCGTCTCCTGGTGCGTGAAGCTGCGACAGCATTGCAGGAGAACCGTCCGGACGCCGTGTCCATCTGCTCCATGGCCAAACTCTTCGTCACGGACGAGTGCTTCAATGTAAGCTAATTTAATAATGATCTAATATGGTGGGAATATCTTTGTTCTGGTTGTATAAACATCAACAGAAACTTACTGAGAGTTTACCAGATTTTATTTGTGGGACAACGAAGAACAAAATACATGTGAGCAGATTCAGAATCCAGACAAAACGGGGAATTTCCCGCTGTTTTTCAACCTCCCTTGTTACTGAACAGGTCTGCAACCAGGCTCTCCAGATGCATGGCGGGTACGGTTACCTAAAAGACTACGCCGTGCAGCAGTTTGTGCGGGACATCAGAGTCCATCAGATCTTAGAGGGTGAGTGTTTTTGTTTTTCCGCGTGTGGAACGCGCAGCTTTCGCTTCCCGAGTTTACATCCAAGGAGGTCGTCAGAGATAAAGTCTGTGTGACTCTTATTTGTTTCTCTTAAAGGAACCAATGAGGTGATGAGGATGATTATTTCCAGAAACCTGCTGACAGAATTGTGATTCCCTCCCGGATCTTTGTGTGTGAACTGTTACCGTGTGCCTGGTTCTGACCGCCCGCTGCTAGAAATGTGACAGAAGTTATGGGATGGACCGGGTCATTAATAAGTAGGATTTTAGATCGTCATGTTGGATCAGCGGGTTCATTTTTAACCTACAGGGACTCATGGGGTGGCAGATCCAACCTTTTACCTTGGAACATGCAATATGTCAGTGGAAACTGCACAAAAAAAACCTCTAGGAGCATACCCGCTTTGATCCCATGACTCAGCATTTCTAAATGACAGTTTTCTGTAGAAATCTGGGCCAAAACTTCCTACCAAAGGGTAAAATACTTTTGAATATCACATTGTGATGAATGTTTTCAGCGATTTTGAACGTTTCACGGCTTACAGATAGATTCTGCTCATACGTGACTTGTTCAGAACTCGCTGTAGGTCATAAAACATAAAAAAATAATCAGAAATCACATTTAACTCAAAAATATTCTATCTGCATTGTAAACTGGCAGCATTTCAGCTTGTATTTCAACCATAACTAGCCTGTGCTGCTGTTGTTTTGTGAGTCTGAACCTGAACATTTTGGGAACCGTTGAATCAAAAACCCGATTCTTGTGAGCAGCTCCCCCTAGTGGTCATTTGCAGAAATCAAAAAAGCCAAATTTCAGCTGCATTTGAAGATGAACTGTTTTTATTTATTTTACACAAGCACACCATCATTACCACTCACACCTGTAACCGAAGTAGATAAAGCACTTTTTACCCCAACACTAAACATTAAACGAATAAAGATGGCCGCCTGACATCAGCGGACACCCAGAAGCTGTATTTCAGGTTTTCAGCACAGCAAAATATATTTATGGGTCGTTTTGTTTATGATCACACTCCCAAAGTAAAACTATCACTTTCCGAGAAGAAAGTCTGTTTACATTCAAATGAACTTGGTCAAACACTGCACAAGTAAAAGTGTCAGACGGAACCTTTCAACATCAGTGAACCATCATCATCATCATCATCCCTGTAGACCAGTATCATTGTTTTCCTGTTTAGTTTCATCAGACGGCCTCGTGTTTGCAGTGATCCTCACCGTTAATGGTTTACATTCTAACAGGTAATAATAAAAGTATCTTTAATACGCTCTCTGGTTAGGTCATAAAACATCCTGTAAATATGGGTGAAATATTTCAAACGGTTCTAGAGTTTTAGTTCAGAACTACAGCTAAAAAAATGGAATTTTGTGAAAAACTGTTCAGAAAATCAAACTTCAACATTGAAATATTTCAGTCTGCGTGAAATAAATCAGAATTGTTTTGCTTTTTGAGACGAGTAACAAAAAAACGTGAACTTTTTCACAGCATCTGAATTTTTGGAGCTGTCCCAGTGACGCAGTCGGCCTCGTAAAAAGCGACTGAAACCTCATTTCTACACAGGCGGGTAAAGTCGAACAGAAATCACTGAAAATAGGTTGAGAATTCTAAAAAAAAATCATATAAACCTTTATAAACAAAACATTTTTCATGAACCACTTGTTCCGATTTACAATTTTAAGACGAAAACAAGCCTGCTGCCTGGAAATTGACATATTGAAGAGTTTTTAGGCAGAAAAAACAAAAATATATTCCTCTTTAATGAGCAGCGTAGAAATAAAAGCTGGAAAAGGAACTGGAACGTCTCACTGGTCTCGTGATCAGTTTGTGCAAATGACGCACTTGAACTGGTGGAGGTGGAAGTGATCTCCAAGTCAGAGAACTTGTCCATCATAGTCGTTTCTGGAGGCTACACCAGTGATCCAGCTTGGCTCTGAGCAGGCACCATCACGGCCACGGCTCCCATTCGCGTCAGGGTGGAGGAGCTGATCTGTGGGGACGCAGTAAGAAGTGGGGGCACCTGAGGCTGAGCTCCATCAGTCCGTTTGGGGGTGCCGACTGCAGGGCTCCTGAGAATCTGCGGAGGAGCCCCGTTAGCGCTGGCGGGCCTCTTGTGTTTGCGTGTTGGTGTTCCTCCCATGTTGTACCCAGGAAGTCCCTGTAAGCTGGTGGCCTCGCCGGGTCGCAGCTGGTAGGCGTTGATGACTGAGCTCGTGTCCGATGCCGACATGGGGGAGTATGGGTACCGGAAGTTGGGCTGATGGGGGTCTTGTGATCGAGGGCTGGTGGCTATGGAGGAGAGCGTACCGTTTTTTGACACAATGTCAGAGCCGGTGTTGCTTTTAGCCCACGATACTCGCTTTGGAGCCTGAGCATCTTCCCTGTGAAAAAAAATAAAAAATAAATGAACAATTGTTTTTTCCCTCTTTTTTTAAAAAATATACAAAAACATTTACGGTGTCATTCAGCTAACTGCTAGCCTAACTGCCTGGTTCATGCTTCTCAGTCAGCTCCGCAAGGGGCAGACACGCACGGATTGACGGAAGCGTTTTGCTCTCACACTTCTCCGTCTCCTGGAGAGCGTTGCAAAGCAATTGCCCGGCAGGACAACAGAGGGCGTAGCGCTGTTCTGTGGTATCCTGTCATGTATCAGTCCAAGATATTGCATTTTATATATATAAAAAACAATATAGAGACGTTTTAACACAGACAAATTTGTCTCTCATCCTCCTCCACCTCTTCATGCGCTCCCCACCTCTAAACCCACGTTTCCTGTCATTTCCGTCCACAAATAAAACGTTTGCTGCACATCTTTTCACTCCTCCAGTCACGAGGGAATTAAACGTTCATATTTTTAAGAGTTTTTTCGTGAGGTATTCTTCAAGCTTCTTCGTGTCTGCCGCTAGTTATCCTCAGCTCTCTTTATGTTTTTGAGGGCGCAGTGGCGGCGGTGTAGACGACAGCGGCATTCTGACCAATCACAAGCTTGCGTTGTCCGTCTCGACTGATGGATGTTTAGAAAAGAGCTCGCCTCCGTCCGTCCATGCGGAGCTCTCCGGCAGGCACGCAAGGATGTTGCGTGTCTCCGCACTGACGCAGACGGAGAAGCATGAATCAAGCTTTAAACGTCTAGACTACTGATGCAGCAGCTAAAGATAGTGCTCTGCAGGTCAGTCTAACCTTGCACCATTGTAGCCTCAGCAGGTCTACCATTGGCTCAGCTAAGTTTGTCAGACCAGTCACAGCGCTCTGTTTGTAAAGACACATTGGGCCGGCGTATCACCAGCACTGCTACAGGGAAAAACTACAAAGATGGCGTCGGCTCAAGAATGGCGCTCATTTGGATGGATGTAAAGGATGCATTTGCATTTCTTTGATCTTCAAAGCTGAATGATGGACTGTCGTGTTGAATGTGAATTGTTCGTTACTCTGATCCTAGCAAGGGCGTCAGTTTGTTGTCAGAATTGCTGGGGACAATAACCATACACTTGAGTGGGGTTTAAAAATTGCTGGGGACAATAAAGTAGGCTAGCACAGGGGTCGGCGGCTCTGGAACCGCATGCGGCTCTTCCATCCATCTGATGCGGCTCTCTGTGCTTGTGAAATAATGAATGGATATTTAAATAAAAAGCTTTATATTTTACTGCATTAATTTTACATCTGTATGCTAATTCTAAATGTAAAGATTGTCTGCGTAAACCTGAACAGTTCCAACCCGGTCTTACTGTGAGACCGGGTTGATGCGTCACGCTTGTGCGTAATCATATCGGCGCTTCTGAGCTGCTTTCTGACCTTCCCCACCTACAAAGTTTAATTACAACAATCAAACGTGACAGAGCCTGGATTTGTATTCTGAACAGTCTAAACATGTTTTAAAAAGAAACATAGGACAAAAGTGGCACCTGCTCAGTAAAACCATCAACAGGGTGAAAAATACCAAAAATTGAAGGCAGAGACGGGCTACAACTTCTGGATCCATTTTATATAAATTGTTTTATTGATTATCGTCTAATGAAAGATAATTAAGACGTACATGAGCGATCAGGCGCGTTGCAAGCTTTTCAAAAGTGTGGGGGATGTTGTCTGTGCCTAAAATAATTTCATGTTATTCATCTTGTTAGTTTAATTTCCGTAATAGCGGAGCAGGTGCGAATTTTAGACGCGTCACGCACGTCTCCGTTTCAAACATGTTTAAACTGTTCAGAATACAAATCTAGGCTCTGTCTCGTTAGATTGGTGTAACTAAAGTTTGTACTGAATGAAACTTTACATTAAACCATGTTGAAAAGTAAAGGATCCGATTAAATAGTTTCCCCCTCATTTACAGTCAGTACAGCGCAGTGCGCACGGCTCTGGGGTTAATCAAGTTTAATTGTAACATTAATTTGTTACTGGACACGCTGGTCTGGTTGGTTAGACCAGTGTTTGAAGTGGAAAACACACACACACACACACACACACACACACACACACACACACACACACACACACACACACACACACACACACCAATTAAAATAATGCTGATAGCGTGGACTAGAAGACAGGTGATGGTTTACGTATTTAAATGATGATCAGGCTGCTGTAAAATGTAATCTCCATCCACATCCAGACACAATCATCCTCTATTCTTTCTCTATTTGCTCTGCTTTTGTCTGGGCTGATCAGCTGATGGTGCACGCGGCACGCCTAGCGGCTGATGCACATTTTACGCATTTGGAGAGGTGGACTGGATGCTTTGCGTTTACTGGAAGTTGGTCCACTTAACGCACGGTTGTAGACTAAATATTAATGACAAATGAATGAAAATTAAATTGTGAGTTTTTACTTCATATTTTAGAAATAAAAATGACGGGGGAAAACATTTATGACGTCTTTTTAAACTAAATTTTCTAGCGCGACCTGCCTGCTTCACTTAAGTCACTGCTTATTAAGGTCCGTCCAAAATTACCGTGGCCCACCCAAAAATGAAAACCTGGCGCTGCGCCAGTTATAACCCTCTGCAAATTGTTGTTCTTCACTTTATCAAACTCAGACTTTGTACAGCTAAATTCAAGATGTAAAATTATGAATTCAGTCGAGCTCTTCCGTCCCTCCCTCTCCTGCTCTCCTGGAAACCCGACATCGGCTGGGAGGTGAAGAAGGAGATGAGGCAAACAGAGTGAGTGCGACGTAAAGAAACCAGACTGGTGTGGAGGTGAGCAAAACAGCTGGAAAAGTGTGGGTCTTGAATCCCCCACGGGTGCGATGCCCCCGGCTGCTGTCACCTGTTGTGAGCAGCGCTCTGCTGTCTGAGGGTAGGCCCCGCCCGCAACGCTGCGGCTGCTGCGGTGTTTTTTTTACCGTGGGAAATGGGTAATAATGGCTCTTTGATGGGAACAGGTTACCGACCCCTGGTATAAGATCTGAGCAGGTAAAACAAAAATCCTCATCAGCAGGCTGTTTTGAAAGTGGGGGGGGGACACAGCTGCCGATCACGAATTTTGCCGGGGACATGTCCCCGGCGTCCCCGGTTAAAATGACGCCTATGGATCCTAGCACTGACCAGTTGCGTGCCGAGACAGTCTTAAAGACAATCATAGATCCCACCCCACAACTGATAGATGAAAATAGTGGGAACAATGTTTGATCTCCACAAATATCACAAGCCTGGAGGAGTTCTGCCATGTTGTGGAGTCGCTAACGCTAACAGTTAGCCACCACATCCTGATTTCCCTCTTCCCCCTCTTTCCCTTTCCTTACATTGTCAATCACTTTTTTTTCTAATTTTAACCATATCTTTTAATCATTAAAAAAAATCTTTATATTTTAAATTTTTGGTTCTTGAGAAACGCCTCGTGGTTTTTATCTAGAGAGGTGCTGAATAAAAGATGGCTTCCTTTCTCTCGTTTCTTTCTTTATTAGCTGAGAGGCACTCTGCTCTCTCCTGGATAAGTAAAATATCTGAATCGATCATTTTTTTCATAAGTGCAAATAAATAATTGAGTTGTAATTACAGCTGCCACTAACTGGGTCACATTTATTAAATTCACTTGTTTAACAAATAACATCATATTTTTATGATGTTTCCGGCACAGTCAGAGACCGAGTCTGAAATATTAAATGCCGGTATACCCACTCTTCAAAGTATATTTGCTTAACTTGACCTAATAAAAGTCTCACTTGATCTCATTGGCCATCTCCTCCTCCGTATCCCGTCTCCTCTTCAGTATGAATATGAGAAAGAGCACCATGGCCACCAGTCCCACCACTGATCCCAGTGTGGCTGCAGCAATCATACCTGTATTGGACGCTGAAAAATGAAAGCACACTCAGTAAAAGGTGTGTGTGTGTGTGTGTGTGTGTGTGTGTGTGTGTGTGTGTGTGTGTGTGTGTGTGTGTGTGAGAGAGAGAGAGAGAGAGCGCTACATACAGGTGACAACCTCCAGGTTGATGGAGCAGCTGTCGGAGCCGGCCGTGTTGCTGGCTCTGCAGATGTACTTCCCTGACATGCTTTTAGTCAGGTTGCTGAGCCTGAGGGTGCCGTGTCTCTCATCTGAAACAACATCAGAGTTAAACCTGAACCACAGCATCAGTCCCCATTATGTCCGCTATTTTATATGGATCCACCAAAAGCATCCTGACCAGCTGCATCACTGTAGGGTTTGGCACCTACACCACATCCTGACCAAAGACTGTGATGTACAGTGGGAGGGGCTACAAAGACCCTCCCCCATTGTCTCCAGGATATCTACCAAATCCACCTGGCACACAAAGCTCTAAGCATTGTGGATTATTCCACCCATCCCACCATTTTCATCTATCAGGCCGTCAGGACGTTGATCTCCCTCGTTTTCCTTTTCTGACCTCCACCCCATTAAACCCTGGACATTAACCAGAAAGTCAGATCACACTGTTTATTCTATTTACAGTACATTTTAATACTATTTATATCTTAAAAGCTGTGTGTTTTCCTAGGTATTTTGGTTTTACTGCATTTTTTTATTTACTTTGCAGTTTGCACCAGGGATATGAAGAAACACCTTTTCAGTTATGTCTTGTACAGATGGCAGTTTTAACAAAATTAAACTGATTTCAAATTAAACACCTCATTAACATTATTATACAAATTACACAAGAAAAACAGGTAAAGATACAACATGAGAAATGTAACATTAAAGGTGCATGAAGTAAGAATGACATTGTTGCAAGTCCGAGCAATCGGTCAAGGCTTAGAAACAGTGGTCAGAGACAAGGGTCACACAAGGGTCAAGAGGACAATAGTTCAGGACTTGCTGGTGAGGACAGAACTAGGCAAAGGGTCAAAAGACAGGCTGTCCTCTCTGGATCCACCCATGGACACACCCCTGGGCCCGCCCCTAACTCCACCTCTGGCTGGAAAAGAAGGACTGGCATGGAGTGAGGAAAGTCCAACTGGACCCAGAAGCTCTCAGGAATGCTGGAGGAAGATCTACAATTTGCTACCAACATGAAGATTTATGACCTGTGCTCTCATTCCAGGAGTGCAGAATGTAACTTTTGTGCCCTCATGTGAATACTGCATGTAGTGAAAAAGATACCAAATGTCTTATGTAGAGCTAAAAAAGTGTATCTGGTAAATGACCCCTTGACCTAAACTGTCAGGAGAGAATGACTTGTGACTCTTACATTGTTTAGAGCAGTCTCAGAAGTGATATAAAAGGATGCAGCTCAGATCAGATTGGGATAGCTGGGGCAGACGACAAGAAGAGACAGAGTAGATTTGGAGGGGTCATCCCCCGTCCTGCTGGATGGGGGATGACAGGCAGTTTTTTGGAGAGAAGCAGAGCTAGAGGGCTTGGTTCTTGGGGAGATTCTGAGAAGACAAGAGCTAGTGTAAACTAACTCTTATTTAATCATTTTGAACTAATTCCTCCGTGGGGGATAGCAGTTGTTTTTTATTTACCCATTTTTGTATTTTTGATTTTGTAATAAACTTTTTTGAAAAAGAAACATAATCCTGATTCTTTCAGGTTTTCTCTAAAGCTTCACGTTTGGGGCCCTGGCCATAATTGCACAGAGGTAAGCATGTCGAAGATCGGTTTCTGAATTATCAGGACTTACTTTACAGTTTATAACAGAATAATATAAAGAAACCTTAAGATAAGGGAAGTTTTAACTTCCCCCTCCTTGCGAGTAACGAGTTGTCTTAAGGGCGATAAAAGCAGAATATTCGAGGTTATTTTGGCTCTGATTGCAGGTTGAAAAAGTCTCTAATCAGCTGGAAGGTTGGATTAATAAATAAATTGATAAACTTATGGTAGCCTGATCAACTAGCATAAATCATTTTATAGTTACCAACCTCCCACATAAGCTGTTAGAGGCGCAATTAATTCCGGGTAGCCCAAACAATTGCTGAGAGGCTTGGCTTGCCTCCAGACTTCTCTCTAGTATCTTAACCAAAAGGTAACGAGTTTAAAAGAAGTGTAGCACTCTGGGGCTGGCTATTCGTGCAAGTCATTTCACCTTTAAAATAAAAGACAAGATTCTAATTAGGTAGTCCAAACCCGGATCTAGTACAATTATACTCGTCGATACACCCCCGAACCCTGATGGATGCACCGTCTCATAAGTTCTAACGGAACTGGGTTTTAAAGGAACCGGTAAATGGGACGGGCACGCGACAACATCCTGTGGTCAAATGTGGGTACTGCACTCCATTTATATCAAAACAAACAAGTGCGCTCTGAGCAACTGTTGCCAGCTACAGATCATCACCAGAAGGTTCTAGAGAACAAGCAAAGCCGAGTCATACACAGTAAGTTGACAAGTAGATATATATGACTGAATGTAATATCAAGTTTTTGGTAAACGAGTAAAGTTGCTTCAGATATTTTTAGAGCTGACTATTTTTTTCTGATTCACTGTTAGCATTATTAGCTCAACGTTAGCCTCTAGTCTTCTTTTCCAGATATTTAAGTGAAACAAAAAGAGGCAGTGGCTTCATAGGTGGAGAAGAAATAACTTCTGGGCCGTTCCTTTGACTGGCTTCCCTTCTCTCCACAACGATAAGTGTTCAATTACAAATGCCAGCACAAACTTGGTAACCCTGCAGGCTCAAAAGTGATTGGCTCTGGAAGTATGGAGGTGGGACAGCTTGTCAACAAAGACTACATCCCTCTTTGGCCTTTTTTTAACCCTCCCATTGTCCTAATGGGTGTGAGGTGGTGCTCACTCCTCACCCCTGCCACGTGGACCTCAAGGGATAAACCATCAATCCTGCTCAATGGTCAACTTTCCTCGCGGGGTCACACCCATAACGACAGTGGGAGGGTTCAAAGGAAAAAAACTGGAAACCCTCCAGTCGGCTGAGAGGGAAATTTTATTGTAACTTTCCTTTCAACATGATATGAATGTTTTGTGATTATTTCACTGTAAAATTCTTAATTATTGCACCTTTAAGCTAAGATCTAACCAGACTGTCACTAAGCAACTTTTAAAACTTCAACACACCAAAGTCATGACAAGGCACAGAGTACGTTTGCATCCATTGCGCAAATCTGTTCTTCTTTGCACATCTGGCTCTGAAATTCTGTTACAAGCACAAGCTGAAGAAAAAAAAAAAACAAGCTTCATGAGGGACTTATAGCTGCAAATCCCCTGAAATCCAATCTGCGACGCCACTCCGTGGCATGTCTTCATCTGATGTGTTTTTGCTTTTGTGGCAACATGAATAAATGACATGTGTTCCTGTGTGGAGAAATCGCCACCCGGGCGAGTGCTGTTAACGTGTTTCAGGACGTCCGTTGCTCTTTATTATTTTGCAAAGAAAAAATAAGAGTAATGCAGCCCAGAAACTCATCCAGAGCATCACGGATAAAAAGTCAAGGTTTGCACAAACGTCAGCAGGTGGCATGTTAAGCTTCCACGCAGCTGCTGCTTTTACTAAGTTTAGGTGAATAAAAGGGAGAGTAGATTGCCAGATTCCCAACTGAAACACCTGTCCCCTACCCTGATTATTTAATCCACCAGGCTGAATAATCTAAACCCCAGTTGTGTAAGATTAGATGTAAATCAGCTGACTCTGAAAACTTGGAATGAGTAACTTCATACCAAGAACACGTTTGTTTAAAAGTTTGCCCGGAGACAAAATTAGGAATAGGCTATACGTCACAGGTCTCCAATTTTACACTTTCTGGCTTTTTAGCTAGCTGAATCATTCCAGTAACGTTGGTGTTCTCCGTGGCATTTGTGTACTATAGGGCTTGCGATCATATCATGATCACCGACGCGGCCGCCCTGTTGGAGGCGTGTGAGTCCTTACTTGTTGCTTGTTTCTACCGTAAACAGAGCACTCAGTCTCATTCTTGCGGCTTAAATTCATCTATTGTTCACTTGATCGATTATATTACACAACTCTAGTAAATCGTTGCTACGTTGTGGGGTGACACACGTGATCACCAGGTGAATAAAGGTGGAAAACAAGCTAACTTTTCACCGTTTTCCTGCTTAGAGGCATAACGGCGGAGACCAAGTATCGAGCATAGCAAAGTCTCGTCGGCTCACTTGGATCGCAGCAATAAGGCGACTAAACATCACCTTCTGGAGTATTTTCATTCTGGTAAGTTACAGATGGTGTACATTTTTTATACATCGTTTCTTTCCTTCAACCACGACATGCACACAACACACACACACACACACACACACACACACACACACACACACACACACACACACACACACACACACACACACACACACACACACACACACACACACACACACACAGGTAAGCTAAAGCAGGTGCACTGATACACAACACAACTTCTCTTGCTACACTTCTTCAGTGGGATGACAATTTTGATTGATTTCCTAGAAAAAACAACAAATAAAACTTTTACCTCTCATCCGAACGTTTACATCTGCTCACACCAAAAACAAGAAAGCCGAAAATGTCCGTTATGCAGAACTGCATCGGCATATGAATCAAAACCATTTATAAACGCTGATTTTATCCACATACCGGTCCCCAACGTCTTTATTTAATGTATCCCTGTATATTCCGCATCCTTTTTGGGATTTTATATTGTCGTTTACCCTTTCTTTCACCCAAATCTGCTTTTTCTCTGCGACAGTACCGTTTGTTTCACGGTTTGTTTACACTCGTCAAGCTTCCAACATGTCCGCGCACATCCCAGAATGCTATTCGTAATCACGTGTGATCACAAGCCCTTTTGCTGCAGCCTGCCAAGGACAACGATCAACAATGTACACAAGATCATCAGACTGCTTACCAAGGCTTTAAATTGTGTCTGTCTACATTCATAACTGGAAAGGTAAGTTAACAGCTTCTGCCTTGGGTTGCTAAATGATACATGCTAGCTCTAACAGCACAGTGAGGAAGCTATGCTAACAACGTTAGCAGAGAGTTAGCATTTAAGAAACAACAAAGACTCATGATATGAACCTTAATGGCAAGTTTGGTAAACAAATGAGCTTAAAACGTTTTTTCATGCCTCTTAATGTTTTACCATCATAGTATAGCTGTAAATACACTGTGGAGATTAAAAAAATTACTTAATTGTATGACTACATCTGGCTAATCCGCTAACGCCAGGTATACAATTAAAGTTTTACACAGAAAAGTGAAACATTTACATTCCCATTAAAGGTGAAGGACTTTGAGAACAATTTATCTACATTTATACTCAAATACATTGTTTTAATGGCTCTTTTGGTTCACTGCACAACATATACAGTTAAGGAAGCATTACCCAATTTGAACTAATCTACGTGTGTACAGAAATAAAATTTATGGTTTCCCTAAATAATGCAAACAGTAAATGCAAGAACTGGACACTCAAATCTAACACCACATACAGACTAGAAAGATTTAAAGGACAAATATGAACCTTTGACCCCAAAATCTGTACAAATGCTACTTTAAAATCCTAAATCCAGGAAACAATGTTCCAAAAGGGTAAAGGTGTAGAACACTCGTTTAATCAACACATTGCCTGTGGTTTGTGGTAGGAATGAATGCCTTGCAAGCCGTACTCAGGGGCAAAAAGCCCAGAAGCACAAGGATCAGCACGGACAAGTCTGCTGCAGCAGAGAGTTGCAGAACACGGCAGGACTTGGAATCTTATTTCCTGATATTTGACATCTCGCCTCACATTGGCTAACAGCAACACGACTCTACCACTGACGTCGTTTGCTCTGCGATGTTGATGTATTATCACTAGGGATGTCCTGATCAGGTTTTTTGCCCCCGGGTCCGAGTCATCTGATTTTGAGAATCTGCCGATACAGAGTCCCGATCCGGTACTTTCGATACATAAAAAAAAAAAAATAAAAAAAAAGGAAGAAACAGTTCCAGAATGTTCCTTATTTTTTATTTAACCACCTTTTTATTTTAATTTAACCACCTTTTTATTTTAATTTTTAACAACAGATCACTTCTGTGAGGTAGCTTGAACAATCAATAAATAACATAAATTCTTCACTTTTGGACTTTATTGCAAATATAAAAAGTCTAATATAAAACAGATAGAACTTCAACTTAAAATACCTGGCAGGGGTCTATTTTGCCTCGGCCCCCAAAATGCTTAGATACGTCCCTGGGCATGGGACGGAGTTTTGAAGATGATCTGAATTGTAACAACTATATAAATACTACATGCTGATAAATGATTGCTTTATACAGGTACAAACGTGTAGTGCGATAAATCTACCTACATTTTATTTTTTAAGAACTTTATTTTGCTTTCTTGGTTTTTATTTTCCTATCTTCCTCTCCTGTCTGTCTCTGATCTTCTGATCTTCCTGCATCTCCCAGTCCTACAGAAAAACTCCTGCCCGCTTCCTTCTTTTTCACCTTACAAGTAACTTTTTTTAACTAGCAGATAAAATTGATCTATTGACCGCAAAAAAAGCGGAGTGTGCGCTGCCCGGCTGCGCCAGTGACGAGCGCTGCAGCGTGAGCGCGTCCACACGTCGTGCTCTTATACAGACAGAACTTACCAGAGCAAAAATTAACGGACACGAATGACTGTGTGTTAATTATATATTTTTGGTGACGCCACTTAGGAAATGTTACTGTGGCCGTGTGCAGAACACAGTTGGAGTTCATGAATAATCAGCGGTCTGCCTGCCGCTCTGCATCTCTGCTCAAAATAATCCCCGCTACGCTGAGTCCATATGAATAATATAATAAAGGTAGAAACTGGATCTCTTTTGTGCTCCTTCTGGGTTTGTAAGTTAAGGGCATCAGGGGAGCCTGACAACCTGAGAACCAAGCTGCTCTCCTGTAATTTTAACCCAGTATCCAACTCCGGATCGGGAAGTGAAGCCCAAGTCCCGATCAGTCTGAAACCACGTGATCGGGGCTGATTTCCAATCATGTGATCAGATCAGGACATCCCTAATTATCACCACAAATAGCACAAGCCTGGAGGAGCTTCTGCTATGTGGTGGGGTTCCTTATGCTAACAGTTAGCTCTTGCTAGCCGAGACATTTTTTGCTGTCTTCTGGATGCTAAAACATCAACAGCCTTTCCTGTCACGTGCTAAGAGTCCAAGCGACCACTTGATCTGTCAGGACTTTCAATTCCTAGCGTTTCACCGTCTTTTTTCTATCAGAAGCTAATGCAGGAGATAGGTGTAGGAGACTATTTTCATGTTCAGCCTGCATGAAAAACTCAGAGTGACCCATTTTAATCAGAAATAATCATTAAGAAATGGGCTTTCAGTGTTCCACACCTTTAAAATATATAAAAAAGCCTAAGGATACAACCAGTGTTTTTATTTTAATTATTAAAGCTTGAAAACAAATTTTAAATCAATGTTTTTAGAGCATTTTTATACATAGGGTAGATTTTTTTCCCCTTTAAATCTTTTCTACAGACATTTTCACTACAGAAAATGCACCTCCTATGGATGTGGAGGGTTGCAGGTGAAGGTGGGATGGATTTGGGTTACAAAAGGGAGAATGAATGAGTGAACGACCTTACCCATGAACCCAAGGACAAGCATGGGCTGTGGACATGCTCTCCATTCTGAGTTTTTGTGTAGGAGGAGAGATGAAAGAAATAAAGCATGAATGAGAGGCAGGGAAGGAGTGGCGTAAAATGATGAAGAGGATGAAAGAGCAACATGTGCTGCTGTGGATTTATTTAGTACCAAATCCAACTTATGTCTTTACAGGGGCCAATCAGGGGGCTTGTTAGACGAGGTCAACAGGAAATGAGCAAAATGAGAGGATCAACAACAGACAGACTGCTGAAAGAGATAAGCAGCGATGATAAAGTTCAAAAGTCACAAGAATTAGCATCAGCATAGCTAAAAGCACAGCATTTGAGTGACGTGAGAGAATACACACACACACACGCGTAACATGGGTGTGTGTTCAGCACAACAAAAGCCTGTGTTAATGCACAATCAGAGGGAGTAGTTTTCAACTTATGAGTATGGGGACTTTTCTGCAATAAAGAGATGAAGGCTGTGGATCAGTCGATACACCATCAATCAGCCTAAGTCCTGTCGTTCAGAAGCAGATGGCGTTTTTTTCCTCCTTTGAAGTGTCATTTCAAAATAACGAGCTTTTCTGTTTTTCTTTCATAGGCAGCAGTTAAAGGGGCGGGGTGGGGGTGCCGTGTGTCTCCCTCTGCAAAGAGGATTTCATGCTGCCTGTCGTGGAAAATTGGAGAATCTTCCTTTGAGGTAAATTTGGAGTATCCTCAGCCGCGGGCAGAAAGATTTGAGTCTGTGTCTTGGAGGGGCTCAGTTGGCTGCTTACAACATCAAATGGGAGAACAAAAGCAGGTTGTTGTCTTATTTTTTTGGGGACAAACAATCAATCAGACTGACTTCTGATGCTCCTCTTTGGCAAATTTATGTAATTCTACTATTATTCTTGGATTTCTGATGTCTAACAAAACCTTTAGAAAATGAACCAAAATCCAATCCAATTTTATTTATAAAGCGCATTCACAAGGCATTACAACCAAACAAGGCGCTGTAAAATCTTCCTGCATGACTATTTTTTTTTATTGTAGAACGCAGTATCACCAAAAATTATGACTTTTCCTTAAGTTACAATAGTTCTATGATCTATACAAAACAAGTTCCTAAAATTATTTGCACTAAATCCCTCTCAGGTAAATTGGTCCTCGCAGTTTTATTCTTGACGATTTCAGTACCTTCCACAATGAGCTGTTTCAGGTCACTTTAAGGAACAAGCCCCAACCCAAAGGCTGCTATACGGAGCCTAAGTCATGCCCATCTACTTCCGGACCATGGGTCCCCGGAAGAACGAAAAAAATGAATGCAAGTCAATAAGGCTAAAAACGTCATTTTCTAATTCCGCTTGTATGTTCCATGGATTTCACATATGATGTCCTTGAATTTTAAAGAAGCTTTTTGATAACAAGAACGGGGGGAAACACAATTTTAGGTTTTGTGTGAAAATAAGCCCAAGACTACAAATGCGCTTCACGAAAGTGACGTCATGGAACCAGACACGGAGAGAACAGAGGGGAAATGGCTGCAAGTTCAGCAAACTTCAAATCCTTCCTTCGGGAGGAAAGAACCACCACAGATCTGGCCATGTGGTAAGTAGCAGCTACGCTAGGGGAGAGGAGAATTTGTGGTGACGTCACATTTGCGATGTGCCGATTTCTGGTTTGTAGTCATGCTAATTACGAACTTTTACAAGCTGATGAATCTCAAACGACTGGCATGGTCGAAACACACATTACAGCACCGTTAACTTGCATTCATTTTTCGTTCTTCCAGGGAGTCATGAGCCAACCGGAAGGGGAGGAGACTTAGGCTTTCTATAAGCGGAGAAGCTTCTATATTGGGGAGGGGCTCAGGCTCAGAGTAGAGCAGCTATTCTTTTAGTTTAGACAATAGAGAGGGGGTGCTAATTTCCCTGTTTGCGACATCACAAACAGGGACTCCTGAAGCTGCTTGATTTAGGCACACAAATTTAGGCAAGCACCAACAGCTAGCATTTTTAAATCACGCCTGAAAACTCACTACTTCAACCTAGCTTATATAACATAATTATGACCATCACTTACATCTGCATTGTTTAAAAATTGACTTTACAATATCAACTTCCATACTATTGAGGTTCTTTTTTAAAATGTTTTTCTAATTTTTATTCACCCTGTGTCTTATTGATTTTTAGCTGTTAGCTTTTGGGAATTTTGTTGTATTTCCTTTTTATCTTTTATCTGTGTTCGACATGTTTGTATACCGCCGGTTTGATTAACTAACATTTTTAGTGTACAGCACCTTGTTTGGTTGTAATGCCTTGTGAATGCGCTTTATAAATAAAATTGGATTGGATTGAATTGGAAATTTGATGGCAAATAATAATGAACTCTATCACAAATACCTCTACCACAAATAATGGCATGGGTTTTCTCGTGCTGGGTGTTTATAGAGGCAGTAGAGGCCCACATGGCAGAACAAATGGATGCAAATGGTGAGCTTAATGGGGAGCTTCAGTCACGCCCCGTTCACTTGCATACTTCAAGGGATGCAGTCCTGTCTTTTATTTGGTCAGGGGATCTATAAGATGACCAGAAGGGAAGGAGTGACCCCTTTAAAGTACTCACTCTGCATCGGGGAGAAGAAGACCTCAGAAACAGGTGCAGCCTTGGTCCATTTATACTGAGGAGCTGGTTTCCCATCACTGGACCTGCAGCTCAGAGTCACGTTGCCTTTCACCACCGAGGTTCCTGTCATGCTGCACACTGGAGGTGATGGTGGGACTGGACACACACACATGCACACGCACACACACACATCTTACTAACACATCAGCCACTGACCACGTACATTAGTTTTAATCCTGAGATTTCTCAGAGCAGTGGCCAGATTGTATAAAAATAACTTGTTTCCATCTGCTTCTGGAAGATGACATAATTCTCTCAGAGCTCGTGAATCCCTTAACAGCAAATGAGTTTTATTCGGACACCACTTCCTCACGAGTTATTTTTTTTCTTCAATAGACTGTTTCAATTAAAAATCCCTCAAAGTACTTGGGCTGAACGTGTAAATCCTAAAAAAACATGACTGAGTTGAAATAAGGACTTTCCTGATGAGCCTCTGAAGCAAAGATATTCTGGTTTTGAGGGCATGTCAAAGAATTGTAATTAACAGAATCTGGGTGTGTTTAGAGCAGGGGTCTGCAACCTTTGGAAAAAAAAACACATTTACAATTCTGAGAAATATCCAAGACAGAGGATTAGGGCCACTGAAAAAAAGGTTCTCTTTTCTCAGATTTCTGTGACAAAAGTCAAAACTCTGAGATTAAAACCAAAGCTCAATTTCCCTCTCTACTGTAAATATCTACTATAAGACCTGTGTTGTCATTTTTAAGAAATACGCCATTTTGTTTCTATTATTTGGCTTTAAAGGTCTCATTTAGTTCTGTAGTATGAATGAATGACTTGTGGGGAATAAAAGCTCTGGCGCTCCCGTTTTCCCCGCATGCACTGAAGTTTTATCTCCACAAATAACACCAGTGTTACGGTGTTCCACCATGTGGCGTTGCTAATGCTAATGGTTAGCTTCTATGGGCTGAGACGTGCTCTGCTGTTTTCTGGCTGCTAAGTCAACGTAGCCTTCCGTGGTTCCAAGCTAAGGTGGGTGAGTTCATGAATGCTAATTTTCCCTGTGACCTAAAAGAGACTGGCTTTTTCTGACTAAACCATTTTCCCATTTATTTTGTTTCTGCAGCTAATGCTTAAACCTGCATAGTTTTTATTTAGTAACATAGCCAAAGTTATTAAAGGTCAACTGTACTCAGATTTTTCATACATTTGCAGTGTTCTCTAGTAGGAATGAATGCCTTGTAAGTCATTCTCTGGGAAAACATTTCCGGTGCGCCTGCTTGAAGATGTAGCTGTAAGCTGAAGGAGAAAGTATAGCTTCAGAGAGCAGGATGTGGAGTCTTATTTCCTGATATTTGGACACCTTGCCTCTGATTGGCTAACAGAAACACGACTCTACCACTGACTCGGTTTGCTTTGCAACGCAGGCCTGAAGGAATTCAGCCGTGCGGTGGAGTTGGTAATGCTAATGGTTAGCTTCAACTAGCCGAGAGGTTCTCTGCTGTTTACTGGACAGTAAACCAACAACAGCCTTCCCCGCTGTGAGCCAAGACGAGTGAGTCCATGCTGACAGCATGACGTAGAGCTGTTGGGCTTTTCGTAACCAAACATTTTTTCATCTATTTTCTATCAAAAACTAATGCAGGAAATAATATTGTCACATTCCATTTGCTTGTTCAACTCAGAGTGGCTGATCAATTTCAAAAATAACAAGTAAAAAAATGTATTTTCAGTGAACCTGCTCTTAAAGAGCCACTTGTGGCTCCAGAGCCGCAGATTGCAGACCCATGAATAGTACCCATCTGTTGCCATGGATGCCATTACCTTTGACGTTGAGCCTCATCTCTCCGGTGAGGCCGGGACCACCAGGAACGATGACATGGCACAAGTACTGCCCCGAGTCGGTTTCTTGGGTGTCGTTTATGTAAATGGAGAGGTTGGCCGAGGGCATGGTCACACTGAAGCCCACCCTCTTGGTAAACTCGTTCTGTCCGTGCCCGACTTTCCCTGAGCTGAAGTTTATCACCTGACCAGAAACGACACATTGATGGTCATTATCGCTCGAGAGGAAATCGTCTGATTTCTGCTCTCTTCAGCCATGTCGAGATGTGCAGATTAACACGGGAAAACTGATATGAAGATAATCCCCAAATGTACAGCTGGTGGATGTTGAAATTTAGGCAGATTTTCTCTTTGAGATAAGCTCAGAGGCATCAAAACACTGAAATTATTTAGATTATAATAACCATGTACACAAACATGTACACGCTACACATACAAAAGGTAAAAACTGTTTGTAATAAATGAATGCTTCAGTGACATTTACAAAAATCTACAAAATATTATCGTTTATTGGTATTCCACCAGTAAGAGCATGCATCATTCCTCAGGTTTTGATGGAGCAGACGGGGATAAAATGTATCCTCACAAAGTTGTTTAATTTGTTCAGTCCAGTTATTTGAAGTTCAGTGAACTCTGTGATAACACACAAGAGGATCAGAGTTTTGTTGTAATTCCTTTAAAGCGACTCTCCTCTTTGCTACGCTACGGAGGCCAGAACTGGGTCACAGGACTCATCAGGACTGGGATCAGGTCTACAGAGGGGGTCGAGCTAGTTCGTCCTCTTGGGTCTGAGCTCCTCACCTGTTTGGACTCGTTGCCTGTAAAGTGCCAGATGATGGTGTTCAGTGAGATGTCGGAGTTGGGGCTGTACCAGGCCTGTAACACCACCATCTGGCCCTTCACCACCTCCATCTCTTTGCTGGGCATCTCCACCTTGTGAGTGTCACCTGGAACAAAAACACAGACCGGTTTGGGTTTAACAGCTGGTCCCTAGAGGTCTGTCTGTCTGTCTGTCTGTCTGTCTGTCTATCTATATGTATATATATACATACATATATATATATATATATATAAATATGTATATATATTTATATATACATATATATATAAATATCATATATATATATATATATATATATAGATAGATAGATAGATAGATAGATAGATAGATAGATAGATAGATAGATAGATAGATAGATAGATAGATAGATATAGATATCTATATATAGATATATATAGTCTATACGGTTTCATGTGCTAGTTATGGCTAAAGTAATCTTTAATCTCTTCAAAACGGAATCAATCATAGCAGGGTGAATCTAAACATGTCATGAAACAAAAAGAGAAAACATTTTATGGACATTTTAAAGACATTCTGAGATTTCATTGGTGATTTTCTAGACTTTCATTGGTATTAAAGGATTCTTTTTGGGTTAAAGGTAAATTGAAACATGAGAAATACATAGTATAATAATTCTGAGTCATGCAAAGCAATATTACTTTTTTTACTGTTATATAACATATTATTATATTATATTATAATATAATATAATAATATAATATCTAAATAAGTAATATTAAAATAATAATAATAATGTATGCTAATAATGTTTCAATTTTGAAGATTTATTTATTTTTTTGCAGTCACAATTTCATGTTTTGATAAGATTTAGGGACTAAAATATTTTACCCCACTTGGTAAAATAACTACCTTTAATTATTCTGTTACAAATCAGATTTTTGCCAATTTTCATTTTTTCCAAAAACAGCAACACACCAAAGGAGGAGGTATCATCTGCACAAAAAATACACATCGGACATATAAAGTCAAATTATTTCCTCTCATTTTCAACAAGAAAACAAGGAAATTAAAGATGCTTGGAATAAGGACCTGCTTATTAAGGACACAAGGAAGGACAAAAAATATATATAAAAAATAAATAAACAAATAAATAAATAAACGACGTGAGGCGAGTCTGTGGAACTCACAGGGCGCCCGGTCACCTGAAACGGACAGCTGAAGCTGGATCAGCTGATCCCAGCAGTCGATTTCTACATTCGTCTCCAGTTTGAAGTTCGGCTCAAACGCTGAAGCAAGAAAGGAAACGAGAGTGCCCGCTGTCTGTAAGTCCTTCAGCGGCAGAGAGGAAAGCGGTGAAAAGTGTCTCTCACATGCTCCGAGGGAATCATGGATAGGTCGGGATGACAGAGAGAGAGAGATGATCCCAGCTGAGATCCACGCTGCTTCATTCTTCAGACTGAGAGTGAGTAAAGACGAGAGAACAGGAGGGGTGGAGGCTCATAGATGATGAAATGTGGGAGGAATGGACACGCATGTTAGCGTGTGTGTTTGGGATTGAGAGCGAGGCAGAAAGCACAAGGGAGAAAGAAAAATAACAAAACAGGGCAGAACTTGTTTTTACTCGTGCTTTTTAATCTTCCTGGGATAACGTGACACCGTAGGGGTTCCTTTAATTTCTGAATCTGAGCCTCATAAATCCTGCTGACTAACCTCTGAGATCCCGGCTCAATCCTCTCACTTTAGGTGGACAAAAGAACTCAGCCGGACAAATAACATGATGAAACACATGGTCACTTTTCCACCGCTCAAATCATTAGTCACAGCGAGATTCGTGAGATTAGGAGAGACTTTTTCACGGCACAAAAAAGTCAGAAAGAACCTTCTATAATAAATAACATGTTTTTTATGACAAAGTATATTTTGTCGCATCGACAGTTGAAAATTGTTGCATCCCTTGAGTGTTTTTTGCAGCACATGCATCATTCTGAAGCAGCAGACCAGATTAATCGACTCATGTTTATTAGTTGCAGCCGTGCAAGCTCCAGAGATCTTCCAGCAGGATGTGGTGCAGCTGCCGTACCACACAGCGATGCAGCTGGTCATGATGCTGTTGGTGGAACGTGGACATGATGAAGATGGATGCTCTGGCTTTTCTATGTCTGCAGAGGAAGTGGAGGCACTGCTGAACTGTTTTGGCTGGTTAAGCTGAATTGCTGCCCCATAAAATACCCTCATATATATGCACACCCCCAGGGATATGCTGTTGAAAGTAAAGCCATGAAATCCAAATGCTGCCATGTTGGTTTCTGGATTCAGAGTCCAAAAACTCAGATTGTAACTCTGAAAGTCTTGCTTCTTCATCTGCATGCAGTAAACACACACACACACACACACACACACACACACACACACACACACACACACACACACACACACACACACACACACACACACACACACACACACACACACACACACACACACACACACACACACAACAGAAAGTATTCACTGTCTGCATATGTCGGCTGTCTCCAACACTGAAGACGTGTACTGGACATGTATGCATGGGATTAATATCTTCATCTTCTTGTCAGACGCTTTATGATTGATAGCACACAGCAGCCTGAGGTGCAGATGGATTGTGTGTTTCCAGATTTGAAACATTTTTTTCTTCAGAAATCCTGTTAGAGATCTGCTTTCAGAGCTGCTGTTGCACCATTAACCAACGGTGAGGAAATTATTACGGGTGTGACTGGTTTGTGATTGTTGACAAAATAGCTCCTGAACCACAATTAATTAAGTTCTGAGTTGCAATTTTATTAACAGAGGCTTTTGAATCAGTTTTGTTAATTGTTTTGATATTTGAATCAAAACTGGATATTGTCATGTTCCGTGTCCCTTTGTTCCCCAGCCCCTCCAGTTCCCACTCCAGGTTCTCCTTTTGTGTTTCATGGCGCCCTCATGTGTCCTTTGTCTGCGTCTTTCCCCATGTGTCTCCTAATGTTTCTCCATCCCTCTCTGGATTCCCTTTTGTGTTCTCTTAGCGCCCTCATGTGTCCTTTGTCTGCATCTCTGTTATGTGTCTTCTGTTTGTAGGCCTTTTTATCATTCCCTCAGGTCCGTTGTTCATTTAGTTATCCTCTGTCCCTCCAGTTGCAGCTCCAGCCTCTTGTTCCCCAGCCCAGTATGTGTGTGTGTGAGTTGTTTATGTCTCTGTGTGTGTGTTAGTCCTTCCCACAGCCTTTTAGTTTGGATTTGTAGTTTTAGGTTTATCTGTCCTCCTTTGGTTCTGTTTCCCCATTTGCCCTCTAGGTTTCCCCCCTCTTAGCCACGCCCCTGTAGTTTCTTTCTGTAGTGTTTTCCTTAGTGTCAGCTTCCCCATAGAATATTAGTTATGTTCATGCCTTCTGGTCTTTTGTTTTTCTCTTAAGTCATTTTCCTTTGTTACAGCCTTTCATTATTTAGTGTTTTTCCCACCAGTGTTTTCTTCCTCCTCCCTGAGTTGGTAATTGTGTTCACCTGGTCCCTCTCCCCACACACCTGCAATTCATCTCCCTCTCATCCTCCCAGTCTATTTAAGCCCTGTCTTGTCACTCTGTTTGTTGGTTCATTGTCGTATGTGTCTGCGTTGCTCGTTTCCCTCTCAAGTTTTCCCGAGTCTGTGCTCATGTGTGAGCTTTTGTTTGTTTTGGAATTTTCAGTGAGCTTTTGAGAGTTAGTCTTATTAGTTGTGCTTTGGATTTTGGCGCATCCTCCTTAAATTAAAGGAATTTATTTTCTTAACTACTCCTGCCTCGAGTCGTTCTGGGGATTCTGCATCTTGGGTCCAAACCTCCTGCTCTCAACGTGACAGATATTTGAAAGATTCTCTAGTTCCAACATCAAATGTTCCTTAAAAATTTAGAGGTTTTTTTTATGTTTGTGAGAGTGTGCTTGCATTATTATGGTTTTCTAACTATTTTAGTTGAAAATGCAATTATTTCTGGAACAATTTATCATTTTTTGATCAATGAACTCAAACTTGTGTTCTGGTGCAAAATGCGCAAGCGTGTAATGGGTGGAGGACCCGGGTAAATGCAGAAGTGCTGTGGTTATAAGCCGAGCATTTACCTGTTTCAACACAATCCTCCCAGACCTCCTCCAAGACAAACTGTCCGACTTCCTGATGAACAGGAAGTAACGAGTGAAGTGGGGAAGAATCTCAGGGTTTCCCTCAGGACTGTGTTCTCTCCTCTCTGCTCTTCTCCCTGTACACCAATGACTGCACCTCCAACCACGAGTCTGTCAAACTCATCAAGTTTGCAGACGACACCCCGTCATCGGACTTATCTCTGATGGGGATGAGTCTGCTTACAGAATGGAGGTGGAACGGCGGTGTTCTGGTGCAGCCACAACAACCTGGTGCTAAACACCCAGAAGACATTGGAGGTTGTTGTGGACTTAAGGAAGCACACAGCCCCCCCAACCCTGTCTGACACTTCCATCAAGATGGTGGACTCATGTCGCTTCCTGGGCACCACCATCACACAAGACCTCAAGTGGGAGCCCACCATCACCTCAGCCATAAAAAAGGCCCAGAAGAGGATGTACTTCCTGAGGCAGCTGAAGAAATTCAACCTATCAGCACAGTGGATGAGGCAGTTCTACACCACAATCATCGAGCCCATCCTCATGTCTTCAATCACAGTGTGGTGCGCTGGAGCTACCACCAGGGAGAAGAAGAAGCTGCAGCGTGTTGTACACTCTGCTGAGAAAGTCAATGGCTGAAAACAGGACCTGTACACCTCCAGGACATTGAGGCGTGAAGGTCGGATCACAGCTGACCCGTCTCACCCTAGACAGTCTTTTTGGCTCGCTCCCATCTGGCAGGAGGCTCAGATCCACTCTGACCAGAACCTCTCACTACAAGAATAGTTTCTTCCCCTCTGCTGTTGGTCTCATGAATGACAATCCAAGGCCTGCCCACTCCAGTCACGTGACCCGGTGTTGTGTTTGTATCTGAACTGATCCGCTCAGATCAGTACCTACACTGTCTTTTATATGGTAGCCTTTTCTCTAATTATTGCCACTTTATAATATTTTATCATGATTATATTCTTAGTTATTACATTTCCTCATCTCTTATTTTTATATTTCTTTTGC